CCGAGAGCCCAGAGGTATGGAAAGATCTGCATTCAGCTAAACAAATGAATGCTATAGACACATAAGGCCAAAATAATCTCCCATGATGAGGTTTTTCTGTGACCTCCAGGAGTCCTTGACTTTCTTAGTCTATTATCAGGGTCCTGTAGCAACTAACTTTAAGTTCAGGGATAAAAATTATGCACTTCTCAAATATACTGAATTAAGCAAATCATAGACTTCCTGGCAGAACAGAAAACTGTCAGATATTTAGAATGGAATCCTTGGTGAAACACTCAAGATTTGCAAAGCTGTTTTATGTTCCTCTCTAGAGACTAACTTTACCAATCCAAAATTAATCTTTTCATTTCCATACTGGTGATGTTCCTGAAGTTGGATGTGCTTAGGTTTCTTCAAGTGGAATGAATCTCAGATGGCTCCCATTTCAAAAAATCTGTACCAAGATCCTATTTCGATTTTCATGGGTTTCCTTTCACTAGGATGGGGGAGGGAGGCTCCTTGGGTAATGCTATCCTATACAAACAAAGTTACCAAATGGTGGTAGTTGCTATAATGGAAGACACTTTCTCGGTTCCCATTTTGTCGCAGTGTCCTGAATTTACTCTTTTCCTGTGAATATTCTACTCTGCCCTATTGCACACCCCTTTGTCACGTGGATGTATGTTTACCATAGGTCTTTAACCTGTCCTCCCCAAGAAGATAAAGCAAACAGATGTACATGAAGCTATCTTATGCAGTAAAAATGTGAAATTTGAACATTGCTTCACAAGTATTGTATAAATAACAAGTCTGTAAACAAATTTCTTATGTAAACTTACAGGGAAATAAAGACTTTTATCTGTTCAAATGAGAGCATGATGTTTAGAGATGTAAATAATTTAAAATAGCTGTTGTTTTCCTGAGTTGTAAACCCACTTTTGCTGAATGGATTTAAACACACTATTGAGTGACCAGAAAAGAAAAGGCGGACACATGTGAGAGACATACCGAGGACATTTTTATGAGTCATGCCACCTTAGAAAATAAAACCCCTTGTGGTCAAGTAGAACAAAGCCCCTATGGTATGACCAGACCTGGGATTGTAAAATAGAGTCCAGATTTGCAGCTGCCCTCCTTAAATTTAGTCTATAACATACCAAGGCCAAAGTAATTAAACATTCTAGATTAGTGAGGACAATTGTATGCCCAGTGAGAAATTGCTCTCATTTAATTGCCTCATAGGCTTGAGACATGCGGCATCACTGGCTAGTGTTGGCCCCCATCCAGTTGTGTGTTCTGCAGCTACCCAACATATGGCAGAACCAGATGCTTCTGTTTATTATCAAAGCCCAAAGGTCATGGAAATTCTTAGTGTGGTGCTCATCCCTTAATTCCTTAATTTGGGTCCCAAACTGAATATCGACTGATGCCACATTTCTGAGGTCTTATGAAGGGAATTTTGCTTTCTATTCACTAACTCCATGAGAAGGCTTTTCAGTACTCTTTATTTTCCATTTCTGGCAAGAATTATGTCTTTGATATTCCCCAAAGTGTTATTTATGTTTATGACATGGAGAAAAGTAAAATTCTAATTCATTGGACGAAGGAATATCCAACCCAAAATTTAACTTCAGACTTTGATTCTTGTGTGTGTGTGTGTGTGTGTGTGTGTGTGCGCGCGCGCGCGCATGCTCGGGATTGAACCCAGGGGCACTTAACCACTTCCCTGGCCCTTTTGATTTTTTTGAGACAGGGTTTCACTAAGTTGCTTAGGTCCTCGATAAGTTGCTGAGACTGGCTTTGAACTTGTGATCTTCCTGCCTCAGGCCCCTGAGTTGCTGGGATTACAAAAGTATGCCACCATGCTGGGCTCAGATTTTCCTTCTTTAGAAAGTACTCTGATGACTCTCATTAGTCAGACAGATAAATGTCCAGAGTCATCACATCTCAAATCATCAGGCACTTTTGGGGACTCCTTGCTACTCCCTGAAGCATAAGAGGTTTTACTGAAATCTACATAACTTGGAGCCTCAAAATTGACTAATATGGAGTCACCTCTAGAGTCTCCCTTCTGTTTACAGTGATTAGAATCTCTCCTTCTCTTGATTAATCTGTTTCTTGTTCTACCATCAAAAGAATTCCTTAAGGAAATGTAAATGTCTGGGCTTCCCTTTATTCTCTCGCATTTCTTTAGCCTTCAGAGTGCCAGGCCTACAGAGTTGCAAAGGGAGGTTATTCTATGCCCCAGTCACACTGGAACCTGCTCTAAAAAGAATGAAAAGATTGAGGGACTAAGTCTTCTCAGGAAAAATCATTAAATGTACTTTTCCAGTTTTACAAAAAAAGATGGATGCTCAAAGACAGATAGGAAATAGCTTCTGTCCTTGTTTTGAAGGAGACTAATTTCCCTTTCACACTTGATATTATAGTGTTTTTGTGACTGAACTTTTAAAAATTGTTGGCATTTTAAGTATGGTTTATCCCCTTACTTACCACTGAAGGTCATAGAATATGCTCTGAGTTGGAAGTTTTGTTTTATTTGTTTGTTTTTGTACCCAGGATTGAACCCAGAGGCACTTTCAGCCACATTCCCAGTTCTTTTTATTTTTTTGAGATGGGGTCTCACTAAGTTGCTTAGGGCCTCACTAAGTGCTGTGGCTGGCTTTGAACTTCTGATCCTCCTATCTCATCCTCCTGAGCCTCTGGGATTACAGGTGTGTACCACCACACCCAGCCCCAAACTCACTTTTTAACAAATAGTTTTGATTCATTTTAAATTTCCTAAAACCACCAACTTTGTCAAAGTAGTGTACTCCCCCGCCCCCAATTCTTTTGCAGTACAGGGGATTGAATTCATGGGCACTCTACCATTGAGCTACATCCCTGGTCCTTATTTATTTAGATGGGATCTTATTAAGTTGCTGAGGCTAGCCTTGAACTTGTGATCCTACTGCCTCAGCCTCCCAAGTAGCTGGAATTAATAGTGTTCATTTTGATTCTTGATTTAGATGATGCCCGAATTAGTCATTGGCTTGACTAAATTCTGCCCACTCTTTCCTTAATCTCTAAAAGATATTTTGCTTTCCTGCAGAATCAATATGACAGTGTCAGCTTTCAGAATAGTTTTGGAAGATGAAAAATTATACCTTAATTTTGGCAAATGAAAGTTTTTCCAGCTGTTGCTGTGCAAGGAAGTGATTTAAGGTTTTTAGGGGTCTCCTGTGTCTCTTTAAGGCTTGGTGATTTTCATTTTGGAAAAAATATTTTTCCCTTCAGAAATTGTTGCTTGGGTGTTGCTGAGACAATATATCAATATACTTGCCTGAGAATTAGGACTGTGTCTTTCCCACATATCTTGGAAGGGAAAAGTTATCCTATTTATCTCCTAACAGCTAACTGATGCCTTCATACCACCATGTAACTGCACATCTTCGAGTTCTAATACAAGGAAAAATTTATTCTCTTCAAAAACATAATCTTCAAAGACTGTTCCGAAAGTTAGTTAGCACCAGCACTTAAATTTCAAATTTGTAATTGACTAAATACATTCATACAGATAGAAAGGAAAATAAAAGTGAGTGGAAAAAAATACTTTTTGTTCCTGGAAAAAATAATACTTAAGGTCAGAACTGTTTAAAAAGAAAGCACTGCTAAAAAGTTATAGGATTCAGAGAAACATAGTATTTTTGTATAGTATCTTATAAAATGTTCAGACCTCTCTCTACATTCTCTTTACAATGTAATGTCTAAGTGACTGGTTTCCCAATAAACTAATTTTGATGCCTCTTCTGCTGTGTTCCGTGTGCTTAATTCAAGCAGAAACTTGAGAAGGGGATAATTTTTAGCAGAAATTTCTGCAAGCTAATGGTTTTCATAGAAGGGGAGAGGGCCTGTGTGGGAGGGGATAATTGAATTCCATCTGTATAGAAGTCCTGAGTCATCTATGACTCCAAATCATTGTACCTAACATTCTTATCCTGGTGGGTTGGGAAACTCCAATTGTGTCTCTTTATTGAGCCCACGATGATGATACCTTTACCCTGCCCCAACCGTCCTTTCTCTGGATTCTTCTTGCTTAGTTACATATGCCTTTTTCCTGCCCTCTTGCTAACATGTGCCCAATGACATACTTCTAACCTGCTAATATTTCTTGGAAGGTAAGCTCTCTTGCATTCTGATAATTGTCTATTTGATTTCAAAAGCCAGAGCACCCTGAGGCACCTCTACCTAGATAGGCATAGACTAGCCTTTAGCAGTTTGCTAAGATTCCATAATTACCCATACATTTTACTCCTTCTGCTTAAAGAACTTAATGATGGATTCATTTAAGCAGAGGAGGTCTTTGCTAACTCAGAAGACTGAAAACAAAATTCCAGAGCAACTCCAGCTGAAGGTGATTTTATTTAGTATGATTTTAATTCTGTATCCTCTGTTTAGAAAGTACCTTCAGTTGTTTTGATCTGGGCACCCCAGTGCTCTTTAGTAGTGCTGGTGATGTGAATCACCAAGTAAACTTGCACCTACTGAGCAGCCATGCTGGGCTGATTTTCCGAGGGTCTGTCCCTCTGCATGTGGAGCAGATGACCACATGACAGATACTAACTTGAGTTCATCCCCAGACAGTGTTTCTACATAATCCAAAACTTTCATGGCATATGTGGAGATGAGTGACTGGGTTTGTTTTCATTCCATGATGAGCCAGTGCCAGGTAGAGCAGGTGTCTGTGCCTGGCCCCGCGAGTAGGAGCATTGCGTAGTTATGCTGAATGTCTGTGTGCCTAACATCTTCATCTCCTTTCCTGCACATTGTGCCTATCATGTTCCAAAATGTGAGATAGTGATTGGTTGTGTTCCAGTCTGTGTGCAGTTTCCTTGCCTGACTTTTTTTTTCTGTTTTTTCCTTTTCCATTTTCAACACCTTTTATTTGTTCCCACAATGTTTCTGCCGCGGGTTGACTATTAAATGTTCCAAAAACAGTTGAACTGACCTACATGTTAATTCTGCATTTTATGCTTTTCTAGGTCTCCAGAGAGAGCCCAATCCCTGTCCTGTAATTACTGTAGAGCACTTTAAAGAATCAGCGGGCATTGAAGGCCTTCCCCTGTATCCAGACCCCTCCAGAGTACCTGGCTCAAAGACTCAGAACAACTTAGAATCTGACTATTTAGCCAGAGATGGCCCTTCAAGCAACAGCTCTTTCCACAGCAGTGAAGAGGAGGGGACTGACCTGGAGGGAGACATGCTAGACTGCAGTGGGTCTCGACCTCTCCTTATGGAGTCTGAAGAGGAGGATGAAAGCTGCAAGCCGTCCCAGGGGAAGCCAGGAGGAGCCGTTGCATTTGCTTCAACTGAAATCTCTGCTGAGCAAGCAAAAGCAATGCAAAGTGGAAGAAAGAACCAGTTCCAAACCCTTACGCAGCCAGCCACCGATGGTTTTAGTGAGCCAGATGTCTTCGCCACAGCCCCCTTCAGGAGCTCAAGAGTTCTAGCTGATGACATGGACATTTTCTCCAAAGCGCCATTTGTCTCCAAAGGCAGTGTGGCTCCTTCCCAGCCAGAGGAGGTAGATGTGTTCTTGAGAGCTCCTTTTACCAAGAAGAAAAGCATGGAGGAGTTACCACTTATCCAGAGCTCCTCTCAGGAACCACCTGCACAGACCAGTCTCCTCAGCCAGACAGGTGATGTCCCTCTGCTCTCAGGCCTTGAAAGAGCAGTGTACAGCTCTGTCCAAACTCAGTATTCCATAACTGGTTTTGTACAACAGTCTAACCACCCCTCCCATTCTGTCAAAGCAGTAGACCATCTTGACATTATCTCTCCCAGGGGAACCTCCCTGGAATCTGGGGGCCAGCCCAATGACAGAAGCAAAGGACCTCTGCCCCAGAAAGAAGCTGTCTCAGGCCCTATGGCTGGCAAACCATTCCGCCCCCAGTCTTTATCCAAATATTCCCGTCACTATAGCCCAGAAGATGAGCCAAGCCCAGAAGCCCAGCCAATTGCTGCATACAAAATTGTTTCCCAAACCAACAAGCAGTCAATAGCAGGCTCTGTTTCCATCACATCCCTTTCCTCCAGGACTACGGAACTACCAGCTGCTGATCCTTTTGCTTTAGCACCCTTTCCTTCAAAAGCAGGCAAGCAAAAACCTTAGGAGCAGTACCTGAGCCTAGGCCTCCACCTCTGCTCCACCCCACAAATATCACCACACCACTCCCAGCTGAGCCTTTTCAAGAAGAAATAGTATCAGTTATTTCCATCCCCTGCATCAGAGCAGAGTCTCTTCAACTCAACAAACTCAGTTGTAGTGACACTTGGTTGAAGCCCTTCTAAGTTATGCTTTATTTTGTTTTTATTGATTTCTAGACTTTCACACACTTCAATTTCCTTCCTAGAGGCCTTCCACTTCCACCCAGAACTCTGCTTCTCCCTCCATCCCTGCAAAACTGTTTTAATCCAGGAATATTTTACCCCAACCCCAGGGGCCATATTATTACTAGTATTAATTCCTGTAACTCCTCTTCTGAGTCATGTCCATTGAAGAGTCAAGATTAATCCCTCCAGGACTTAATACTCTTGGAAAAGGGAGATTTCTAGAAAAGAGCAATATAAAAATCCTGCATGTCAAGAGGAAGTATAATCTTGCAGCTACTAATCATTCTTGTAGAACCAGCAGCTCTTGAAGGATTCTGTGGATCTGTTTCTGAGTCTGTGTTCAAGCCAGGATGGCCCTCACGTGTGTCTGTGGGTGTGTGATGTGCATCAGATCCTTTCCTATGTAGAAATGCACGCAGATGGGAAAACTGTGCTTATTCTAATCATGTGAGCAGGGCCTTCCCACACTTTTTAAATTGGTATGGATGCACAGGCGCACACACACACGCACACACACACATGCACAAGCATCAGAAACATTTTTCCTCCAGGTTAATCCTATCCCACCATGCCTACCTCCACAATCAGATCACCCTTACTCCCATTTGCCTGCTGACCTAACCAACTTGAACCCTGTTTTTATTTAGTTTTTTTTTTTTTTTTTTTTTTTTTTTTATCATGGCAAAATTGTATCCATTGGAAGATGTAGGGAAATCTTGCTGGAACTGAGGTTCAGAGTGGATTTTTTTTTTTCCAGAATTTGCTCTGTGCTTTTAACAAATTTCCTTTACCTGGTTGTGAAAATTTAATTTTTTAAGTATATGTTTTCCCCTCACAACAGTAGAAAGGAGTGCCTTGTTACAATTCCAGCCACTGGGTAGTTTGGACTCAGTGCTGTCATTATGTAATTCATTAATCTCTAGACTAGGATACAAAATTAGTTTGCTTGTTTCCCCTTCCCCCACAAATCCTTATCTCTCTCTACTACCTCTTGAGGAAATATGAACCTGGGACATGTAAATAAATTTGGGAGAATGAAAAAGCTGAATTAGCTAGCCATGAAAAGTAAATTCTCTATTCTCTTTAGATGTTAAAGTAGGGCAGACAGGTGACTGGATTATGTTTTTGGAAGTATCTTTTATTTCTGGAAAGATCTGACTCATTCTTAGCTTTTTTCATACCATTTATTTTTAGTGCCTTAAAACCTTTGTCTCAATGGGAAGATTTCTGCTGAGGAAGCCCAATTTAATGGAAAGAGTCTCTGCATCAGTTTCAACCTGAGAGCTTCCTAAAACTTCTAGTAAATGTTAGTGATTTCTCCACTACTGGAGAAACTTGGAGAGTTGTGTACCAACCTAGATTAGTGATTTACAAATTATTGGAAGTTCATTCAAGAATCAAGCCTAAATGCCAAGTTCTACTGCGGTTGATTAGGTGTGCTATTCTTTCAAGGAGGTGGAGGTGTATACCTCGGTGGTAGAACATATTCTTAGTATGCCAAAACCCCAAGTTTGATCCACATCATGAAAAAATTCAAATTCAAAATCTTGATAATAAAATAAGAACAACTCCTTTAAAACACTTTTTGTTTTCTTAGTCTCCACCTATTTCAAATATCCATGTTAAAAGAGAAATAATTGGCACTGTGTTAGGGCTACTATCAATGATTTTTCGACTGAGGTCTTAACTGTGGCCAGAAACCTGTCTTTCACTTTAATGGATTCTAAGTGTTCAGTTTTAAGAATTTGCCTTCTCACAATTATTATTTCTGTCCCTCCCCTAATGTAACAATGTGTGCAAAATTGTATTTCCATTGAATAGCTTTGGTTAATGCACATGGAACTTTGCACCACAAACTTTTCCTATGGTAGTTATCAAGTGAAGCCCTCAAAGGCATGAGCTAGGAGGATAGGAATATTCAGAGAGTTCTTATCTGAAAAAACCTACTTGCCTGGCATAGTGGTATGCACCTCAAGTCTCAGCTACTGGGGAGTTTGAGGCAGGAAGATTGCTTGAGCCCAGGAGTTCAAAGCCAGCCTGGGCAACATAGAGAGACCTGTCTTTATTTTTAAAAAAAGAAAGGAAAAAAAAAGAAAAGAAGAGGGGGAAAAAAAGACAACAACTCTTTTAAAGTTAGAGGTCATTCTAACTCATTCTTCCAAATATTCAGGATTACCTCAGCCCTGCAAATGTTATTCCTTTGTTTATTTGATCACTTCCTCCTAATCAAGTGGCCATTTTAATTCTCAAGGTACAAATCAGAATAAAATCATGGTAATTTTATTATGTAGTTGAATTGTTTTTTGAAGGATAGATTTGCTCTTTTTCATGTTTGCTGTAGACCCACATGGGTGGAAACTACATGCCTTCTTCAAATAGGAAAATGAATGTAACCACATGCAAATTACTTTTTTCTTATTCATTGATGCATGAAGAAATTTTGACTTGTGGATTACATTAATTACAAGTTAATAATTGGTGGATTCTGAATACTATGGTAGGGTTTTATTCACTTTTCACTGGTTACTTTTGGATGGTAAAGAGTAAATGCATCAAAGATTAAGTGGCCTTGCCAGAGGCCATCCTATATCTGGAAATCTGGAAAATACCCTTTTTAAGGGAAATCAGGAGTGTTCAGTGTGTTATGAATTAGTAGCAAATGCATGTTTCCAATAACTAGACTGCAGCAATTTAATATTAAAGAGGAAAAAGAAAATATATAGTCAACAAAGTACTGCACTTTCTTGTTTTAGTTTGTGTTGTATGTTGTTTGCATTACACATTTGATATAGGAATTGTTGACCTTTCATTGCAGTGAAAAACAATGAACCAGGACATTTTTAGACAATGCATTAAGCCACAACATTTATTGATGACCTCTTAAAGAACACCTGTTAATTGACTAGCAGGCACTATTGAATTACTGAAGTTTTACTTCCAGTTTCTTGGGCTTGACAGCCTTTAGCTCCAAACCTCATGGTTAGATTGGAAAATGAAGTGAACAGAATTTTATGCTGAAGCAGATGCTCAGCAAGACCTAAGGAAATGTAGGTCATAAACCCTGTTTTGGTTTGGGCTCATTATCAAGTTGAAAATCTCATGTGCAGACTAGTATGTATGTGTTTACTGGCCGGTGTTGTATCCAAGTTCTGGCAACCAAGATCTCTTTTTCTCAACTTTCAAGAAGGATACTAATACTTTTCTGGCCCATTATTTATTTAGTACATTTTAGAATATATGCATGTCTGTGTTTTCAACTGCTTGGTGGACATTTTGCTGATGCATAAAGAAAGCACATTTAAGTATAATCACCAGGGTAATGTGATGATAGGAATTCTGTATTTTTTCCTTAAGCAATAAAAACATATCAAATTACATAATATGTATGCATTATATCAAATAGGAAATTTTATTATAGGAAATTAGAGAAGGGTGAGACCCAAAGTTCTCCTGAGCAGGAAAGAAACAACTTAAAATGGAGTAATTTGGGTCTCTTCTATGTTCATTGGAATGGAAATTGAAGAATACATCCCAGTCAACTCAGAAATGGTTGCTGGTCTCATAGCAGTTTTATTGAAAAACCTGGAAGCCAAATTATTTTGATGAGAAAAGTTACCTAAGAGAGTTGCAGGAGACTGCAGGAGGCAGGAGCCCCTTGTTAATGTCCACAACCATCTTGAGTTCTGGTCTTCAGTCCTTGCCTGAAGGAGTGAACATCGAAGATTTTAAATGGCATCGTACAATTTGAATCCTTAGTTTTTCCTTGTCCCTGTCAACTAATACTTGTTTTGTTGTTTTTTAAACCACCAGAACACTTAAAAACTTGTTAATGAAAACTTCACTAAAGGAAGAATTTCATAATACTTAAAATATAATAAAAAAATATCTGGTTGGAAATTGTTTTTGTTCTGTCCCTGGAAATCTTCCTGGCTCACCTATCTTGTTCTTATTCCCACTTCATTTCTTCAATTGACATTCCCCTGTTTTGACCATGTGAATAAGCGGATGATGAGAGATGTGGCTGAATGACCATGTTAACATTTAGTTGCTTCCCTTGGAACTACTATAAATAGTTTTGTAAGTTTCAGCCCAGCCTGTGAGATTGTCACCAATAACAATGAAATGACTGACCTTACCCATTTCTCTTAGACTATAAGGAGAGTTGGCAGGACTCCAGCCTTATTCTGTAGAGATATGACCTTGATCTCCACCTTGATCTTTTGTGGCCCACAATGCTTCAGAATGCAGGAACCAGTTTATGTGTGAAAGGACTCCAGAACAGCCGGCAGAAGTGGTTAAATGTTAACTATATGTGGCTTAGTCCAATATTCTCATAACCCAGCAATCTCTATGTGTGACACAGTTTTGAGTTTATACTAACAATGTTCTTGAAATCATGTCAGGGTTACCTCATTGCATTGTACTAGTACCAGCTATACATGTTTAAGAATCTGTTTGAAGCCAAACATGGTGGCACACACTTATAATCCCATCTGTTTGGGAGGCTGAGGCAGGAAGATCACAAGTTCCAGGGCCAGCCTGGGCAGCTTAGTGAAACCCTGTCTCAAAAACTAAAAAGGGCTGGAGCTGTAATTTACTGCTAGAGCACTTTTCTAGTATGCATGAAGCCCTGGCTTCAATGTTCAGTAGTGGGGGGAAAAAATCTGATTCCTTTTGGCAAGGAATTGCAGAAATAGGCTTTACCAACATCAGTTAAAGTAAGATGTGGGAGGAATGGAGGTGTAGCTCAGTGGTAGCAAGGGCCTGGGTTCAATACCCAGCATGGACCAAAAATAAGTGGAATGGGTTAGACTTTGGAAGGGAAGGGACACAATGCAACCTTTTCACTCAGAAAGGGCGAGTCAGTTGTATTCTCTGAGTCTACCAAAGAGTTCTGGTAGAGGAGTGTGAATGGAGTGTGGGTCTGTGTGTGTACATATATGTACATTCTATGCTTTCTTCCATGGTGTTAATTATGGCCCTTAACGGCATCCAAAGAATACTGAGAAGTGATCATCGATATCTGGCACAAGTAAATTCAGCTCCCTTTGCCCCAAACTCTCAAAGTTAGAACTGAAGTTGTTCTCAGTAGAAGTGAAGAAAATTGGCATTCATTGCCTTAGCCTCCTTCCCAAATAAGCATCATCTCATCTCCAAAGTAAGATTCAGTAGGGCTTATCCTAAGAACTTGTGAGTAGTGACAGTAGTGACCAGACACTGCAAGACTTGCAAGACATTACTCTGAGGGAACATTAAATATCAGTTTCTAGGGAATAGAAAACAAATTTAATAAAGGCCAAGGACCATGTTCGTTCCATGGAAAAAAGCTGAACTCCCTCCACTGACAGTATTTGGAGTTGACAGAATAAGAACGTCTACCCCTCTCTAAGGAGTATTGAGGTCATCAAGCATCAGAAAACAACAATGTGCAAACAGTCTCAAAGACTGTGAACAAGGGAAAGGAAGGGGAAAGACCACAATGTCAATTTTAACAGTTCTCACAATACCTCTTATTTGCAGACTATTGGATTTATGCTGTTGCACTCTTGGTGTGATCTATCTCATGTATCTGATAGTTTTTAAAAATAATTGAGTTGGAAACTTTATTAAAATGAACCTAATGAAATGACTTATACTTTGTGTTTTTTCTTTTTTTTTTTTTAAGAGAGAGAAAGAGAGAATTTCAATATTTATTTTTTAGTTTTCGGCGGACACAACATCCCTGTTTTTGTATGTGGTGCTGAGGATCAAACCCGGGCCGCACGCATGCCAGGCGAGCACGCCACCGCTTGAGCCACATCCCCAGCCCCTGTGTTTTTTCTTAAGTGAGATCTTCGTGTGATTGGAGGGATCCACAGCCATCTTGCCCTACTAAAAAGCCTAGTGATATTTTTTCCCCCCCGGTTTGTCCTGGGTCTTATGCATACTAAGCAATCACTCTACTGCTGAGCTACATTCTCAAACCTACTAATAAATTTTTAGTATTCCTAAAGGAGGAAAATAACATAGAGAAACATAGCATTAACATAGAGAAAAGTCTTAGAGAAATAAAGCTAGGAATTTTAAAAATCTACACTGTGATGGAGAACCTGCTTGCCTATTTCCTCCTCAAATTAAAAAAAATAACAGTGCTATCTAACTGAACTTGAGCTTAACATGATTCAGAGAGAGCTAGTTATAAGTTGTGTTCACAGGGATGGTGTTCAAAGATCCAGGAAAACAATCTATTTTGGTTCAATAAGACCATAGTTGCCAACTTTTTTTGAAAATGCAGCTATACTAGAGACTGAATAAAAACGGAAAGAGAATACTAATAAGACTGTCAGTGGGGCACATGGACCAAGAAGGGTTGATGAGCGAAACCCTTTGAGCACGGTTGAATGCTCAAGTAGCTGGGCTTAGGGGAGAAGGAGAAAGTCTAGAGAGGGAGCAAATGAAGGTGAAGGAATAAGATGATGAAAAGTACATGGATTCCACACATACCTACCACCCAATTTGTGGTTTCTAAATGCCCAGGTTCAAATGAGCCAGGTCTCCCAGGAGAAATGACTGATTTGAGGGCTAGAACAGGAAATGAATGAGATGAACCAGGAACATGGTGTAATTATAGTGCCAGAAAGTAAAAGAAGTACTTTAAAATAAAATGAAAGACATAGGGACATAAGAACCAATCTGAAAGAACTCCCGAGGTCAAAGAACAAGTTGAGCAATAAAATAAATGCCATGGTATGAAATTATAAGGTATAAAGTCAATAGCTATAAGCCTCCACTAATATTAAAATGATTATTGAATAAATGAAAAAAGACAAACCTAACATAAAATTTCAACTAATTTAGGTACATTCCCCACTACACAACTGGAATTTAATTCTAAATACTTTGAATGTGGGACATGCTTCCCAAAAGGAACATACGGACAGGAATTGGGGAGTAACTTCTCAGTGGAAAACCCTGACATACACCACCTCTGCCAGATGATCAAGAGTAACTGCCAGTGAAAAATTATGCCAAAGTGTGTACCTGTGATGAGAAGGGCTCTCGGCTCTGTAGACATCCTCCCCAAATGCCTTTACCCCATTCTAACCAAGAGGAGAACATTAAACAAACCCCAATTAAGGGATATTCTACAAAGTACAGTACCTGACTAGCATCCCTCAAGACTGTTAATCATCAAAATTAAAGAAAGTCTTGCCCATGGCAGTGTGCACATGCACCTATAACCCCCAGACTTGGGAGGCTGGGGTAATAGGATCACAAGTTCGAGGCTAGGCCTCCACAATTTAACCAGACCTAGTCTCAAAAGGCAGGGGATATGGCTCAGTTGTAGAGCACCCAGTACCAAAAAATAAATAAATAAATAAATAAAACCCGAAGAAAAGTCGGAAACTCCAACAGGCCAGAAGAGACTAGAAGAAAAAAAGTATCCCAAGTGGATTCCAGAGAAGAAAAAGAATACAATGAAATCTGAATAAACAGAAGTTTAGTTAATGTTGGTTCCTTGCCCATAATAAAATTAATGCTGGTTCAAAATAGGGAGCTACACAGCTTGCAGAGCAATTATTATTCAGAGGAGTAATACTGAAGTAGGAATTTTGCTTTTAAAATATGTATTCCAGATTATTTGAAAATGAGGAACATCCTGGGTCTGTAATCAGTGGTAGAGTGCATAAATGCTCAAAGCCCTGGGTTCAATTCCCAGTTCCTTAAAAAAAAAAAAAAAGAAAAAATGCAAGAGGAATGAGATTTTGTGGTTGCTTTTTCCCTCTTTCTGTCTCTTAACCAAGAAAACAAAGGCAGTGTAGAAAGGGCTATAAGTAATTAGAGTGATCATCACAGTATATTTGTTGTCTTTTGTCTAATCTGCCTCTTGAGACCTTCATCCACCTCTGGGTGAAACAATAATGTTGCCATACAAGGTTTCTCTGGCCCAGCCTCTCCACCTTCCCCGTGGAAACTCCACAGACTGACATCTCCCCACCCACTCCTCAGATCACTCATACTTTGGGACAGATTCTGCTGTTACCTGTTCAACCACAGGCCTGCTGATTCCATTCTAGAAAACAGCACTCTAACAACCTTCCAAGAACAGTTCTCAAATCTCAGCCTGCATCAGAAATCACCTGGGGCTCTTGTTAAAAATAGATGACTAGGGCCCACCTATAGAAATTTTGACTCTGAGGTCTAAAGTGGGGCCCGGAATTTAATAAGGCAGTTCCCATGCCCCACCACCCCCGTCCACACTTCAGAAAACCGAATACCCCAGGAAGGCCTGGAAGAGTACTTAATAGGTTTTTGTAGTTTACTTTCGAAATTAGTCAACACTCATATTTATCCAGCGAAGGATAGCACTACACTAGCTGGGTCCCGTGTATGAACTGATTCAAGATGACCAAGTGGTGGGTCCACAAGCCCCACCTAACTAGAGGGTTAAAACAGGTCATCAGGCCTACCACAGAAGGGCAGCAGAAAGGCGAGACACCAATCAGAAAGGATGCTCTGGAGTCTTTGGGGACGGTCACTGTGCTAGGCCCAGAGGGCTAGCAGGGTGCTAAAAGAAGGAATGGGCAGGTTTGGGGGTTGGTGAGGAGTAGCATTTTAACTGCTGGGCCAGGGCCAGAAAAGCTACCAGAAAGAACAGGAAAGTACGTTTCTGGGCATGCGTGCGAAGTACGTGCCTTAGAAGGCGCCCGCGCATGCTTAGCAAAACTTTCTACTGGACACCGCCTGGTTCGGGCTTATGCTGTAGGTAGGCAACAGGTGCAAAGGACCAAGTGAAAGCCCGCAGCTCTCACTCGCACAAGCGCCGCCCACGGCCTGTCGGGTGCGCTCTTCTAGGTGCCAGCCCAGCTCCCGGTCGGTTTGCGCCTGCGCAGAGCTTTGGGGGCGCGGCGAGGGAGCAAGGCCTCTGCGACTGCGCATTGAAGGACTAAGATGATGGCGACGGCCGTGCGGCTGGCTTGGAGTTTTGCGGCTGCTGCCGCCGGGCGGCGCAGGCGGTAGGTGACGGCCCCGAAGCTCCGAATTGGAGTGCTGGTGGGTTTAGCTGGCGGACCGGTCACTGCCTCGCCAACCCTCTCTCTAGGAGAGGCGGGTAGCGCATCCGATGGAGCCCCTGGATCCACCCAGGTCGCCGCGGTTGGTCGGGGGTTCAGCCGGAAGACCCGTGGCTGTCGGTGAGGCAGCTCCGCACCTGTGGTTCGGGCAGCCTGCGAAACCTCGGCCGGGTGTCTGGGGGAGACTCGAGAGACCGGCTGTAGACACAGTATAGAGGAGCAGCTGGCTTTAAGTCGTATTCCACCATGTGCATTCATTCCCTTCTCTTTCTTAAACACAAAATCGGAATGTCACACGAAGGGAAGAAAGTACTGTTTCATTTCCTCACTTTCCCAGCGAGGCCTAGAAAGGTCGCACAGCTTGTAAGGGAAGGAACTCCGAGGAGAATGCAGACCCCTGATTCTGCTACCACCACCACTACTTCAGCCCACTCTGTTGCCTTGTTTCTCCCTCTTCCCTGAACCCTGTCTTTGAGTTTCACTTCCCAGACACATCTGTCAACATCGATGAGATTTATGTAGATGTCGGACCTCACTTTACTTCTGGGGAAAAAGGCCTAACAGAATTTGACCTTCTGAGTATTAGAAGTTTTAGTATTAATGGTGCTCATAAAGCTTAAACGCATTTCTTAAAAATAATGTTTTCCAGAACACTTTTTTTATTAGTTACCCCTTTTCTGTACCCCATATGTTTTTGATATCTTTCTTGAATAACTTAGTTCACCTCTGCTTTATTTTTTTTGGATTTTAAACCTGTCTCAGTCAAAACATGCTTCTGATTTATCCACTCCACTGCCTCTTCTCAGAGTTGAAGGAAGAGAAATACTGATCTCCAGTCCATTTTCGAATTCCCGCATATTCATAGGGAGATTTAAACTCATAATAATTCATTTGATGAATTATACCAATAATAATTATGTAATTACAAACAATTGACATGATAACAGTAGTACCGTTTATTGAGCATTTATTGTATGGCTTAGCACTGGCTTAAACACTTTACTTGCATGATATGGATGGTACCCAGTCTTTATAAGGTAGCTGTGAATATTAATCTCATTTTTGAAATGAGGAACAGGGACCATAGTGTTTGCAGCTGAGGACATAAAATGAAAACAGTTTCTTTCCTTAATAAGTTTGTAGTTTAGTAAGAAGGACATACTAGCAAATAATGAGAAAGTCATGAGTGTTGTAATGGTCCTATAGTTCAGTATGGTGACAAACCTTGTTAAAGCCTTTGGAGTTACCATGGAGTGTGACAGGCCTTCACAGGTTCCTTGGTTCCCCATTTACTGTTGTTTCCATGATGTCACTAATGCTTATTTTGTTCTCCTGAACCCTCAGTGTCAGTCCTTTTACCTCTTGAGTGGTTCCTAAAGAAACTCTCCATGGGTAATAGGTCCACAACCTTCCAGTAAAGCATTTTTTTGCTTTTATATGGCACTTAAAGATCACTGAAGGTAGGAAGAAATTTAGGTTATTTGTATTCGACTTACTTGGTGCTCACTCTTTATGACAAGCAAATTCTGGTTTTATAAGGGAAAAATGAAGTGCAGCCCCTGTTTGTTACTTCTTCCTATTTGTGTGAAAAATACCCGGAGAAACCTGTTTTTGAAAAGGTGATCCTGTGTATGTTCATGAAAGTGACCCCTGTGGTTAAAATTTTTCAGTAGAACCTATGAAAGGACAATCGTAATAGATAGCCATAATATTTTAAAGTAAAACTTGCAACATGTTCTAAAATTTTTTTAATAATAATTTTTTTAGTTATACATGGACACAGTATCTTTATTTTGATGTGGTGCTGAGGATCAAATCAGTGCCTTACACATACAAGACGAGTGCTCTACCACTGAGCTACAACCCAACCCTAAATTTTTTACTACTAAAGTGTCCTTTTCTTTTCCATTAGTATCTGCCTTCTTTTATCCCCTTGTTTTTAATTTGTCAAAGCCATGAAAATAGCCAATTTATGCTTCTTTATTAGAGTGAAATAAGCTTCTCTATCAGAGTGAAGTATAGTTACAACATTGAATTAATGTTGCCCATCAAAAAGTATATAGAGATTGTTGACTGCTTCAGCAATTTGGAGAATGATAGTACACTTTTTTTATCAGAGCATTCATACATAGTATCTGGGTTCCTTTTGACATAATTATACACACATGGAATTTAATTTCAGTCTTCATGACCTTTCCCCTTTTCTCCTCTTCCCTCCCCCCTCTCTCCTCTCTTCTACTGATCTTCCTTTCACACCTTTATTTATTTATTTTAACTGGTTGATAGTATACTTTCTATTAAGACTTTTTGAAGTATTGAAATATAAGTTAAGTACCTCATATTTAAAATGCTTGGGACCACAGGAAGAAAGAGAGAAGGTAATTGAGGGGGAGGGAAGAGAGATGGGAAAAGGGAGGAATGGTGGAAGTGAAACTGACCAAACTATCCTCTGTACATATATGAATATACCACAGGGAATTTCACCTTCAGAATATCCATAATTCACTGACTTAAAAAAAAAAACTGTAAATAAATAGAAGAAAGTAGAGGAAAGGGAAGAGGGGGAGGAAGGAGGGGAGGAAATGGGAAGAATTGGGACCAGAAGTGTTTCAGGTTTGGGGTTTTGTAACAGCTACATATACATAATGAAATATCTTGGTGATATTTGAAGTCTAAATTCAAAATTCATTTTATGTTTCATATATACCTTATACACATAACCTGAAGGTAATTTTGTATGTTTTTAGCATGACTGCATTTTGACTGTCACCCACCAGATGAGGTAAAATGTCATGTTGATGCACAGAAAGTTTCAGGTTTTGGCTGAGCATGGTGGGGCTTGCTTCCCTGTAGTCACAACAACTTGGGAGGCTGAGGCAGGAGGACGGTAAATTTGAGGCTGGCCTCAGCAACTTAGTGAGACCATGTCTCAGGATGAAAAGGGCTAGGGATATATCTCCATGATAGAGCACCCTGGATTCAATCCCCTATACTAAAAAAAAAAAAAAGAAGAAGTTCAGATTGTGGAGCATTTCAGATTTTCCAATTCAGGACACTTATCCTATACTGTGTGTGTGTGTGTGTGTGTGTGTGTGTGTGTGTGTGTGTGTGTGTGTGATGCTGGGGATTAAACCCAGGGCCTTACCCAGGCTAGGCAGGTACTTCTCACTGAGCTATACCCTCAGCCTGTATTCTTAACAGGTGATATAGTTTACTTCTAGATAACAAGTGATAGGGGACAAAAAGGGAAATTTTTCATAGTGTATACTTTTTTCCTTTATCAGTTTTGAGCCATGTGATTCTATTACCTAGTTTAATTTTTTTCCAAGAAAAAGTTAAAAGCGTATAGTTTTTTCTAGTCCCACCCCCTTGTTTTTTGTTCCCAGGAATTGAACCCAGGGGCATTAACCACTGAGCCACATTCCCCAGCCCTTTGAATTTTTTGTTTTGAGGCAGGGTCTCACTAAATTGAATAGGGTCACGCTAAATTGCTGAGGCTGGCCTTGAACTTGTGATCTTCCTGCCCCAGCCTTTAGGAGTTGCTGGGATTACAGGCATGCACCACTGTATCCAGCTAAAAACCTGTAAAGTTTTTTGACTCCATCTTGAGCCCGGGCAAAAGATTTTTTGGGGAGGGGGTACTAGGGATTGAACTCAGGGGCACTTGATCACTGTGCAACATCCCTAGCCCTATTTTGTATTTTATTTGGAGACAGGGTCTCACTGAGTTGCTTAGTGATTCACTTTTGCTTGAGGCTGGCTTTGGGCAATCCTCCTGTCTCAGCCTCCCAAGCTGCTGGGATTATAGGTGTGGGCCACCACACCCAGCTACAGATTTAAATCATATACATATTTAAATGTATAGATACATTTCTGGTTTCTATACCTGGATGTTAACTTTATCCTATGCACTTCCTGTGATTGAAGCTATGAATTTCCATTTGATTTTCATTTGTTTTTGAATTGTTTGTATTACTTGACGAAGTAGGTGATATATGTTATAGATGAAAAATGAAAAGTTCACTTTCTAATCATTTTTATTGCTACTTATATTTAAATTTTACATGTCTTTTATATAAATAGAAACTGACTATAGATCTCATAAAATGTCATTTACAATTTTTTTAAATGTAGATTCTGTCACATGATGAATGCATATACCATTAAGAAACAACCTCTGCATCAATTTGTACGAAGACCACTCTTCCCACTACCTGCAGCCTTATGTAACACAGGTAAAATTTCACTCTTTTAGAACAAATCATATTTCAGAAGCTAATGGAACTGTACTCGGATTTGTGGGTCATAAAAAACAAGAATTTATAAATTTTCTATCCAAAGGCTTATAAAAAGTGTGTTTTACTTTTCCTATCATAACACCACACTTTACTGCAAATAATTGAAAGAACATTATCCAATAGACTTGTGAAGTTTCAGTGTCTTGTGTAACTCATCTTTTGGAGCATGGATTGCTCAATAAATGACTTTTGAAATGAAAATATTGTAATAAAGAAGTTAACAAATGGATTTGTGTTTGAAAGAATCATATGTCAGTTAAGATATTGCTTTCCTTATTTTGACACAAATACCTCTAAAATCAGTAAGTTTTTGGCTTTTATTCAGACCTTCTTACATTGGATGTTGAATGTAGTTTTTCTTTTTCAAAATTAATTGAATATAGGGTTATTTGACTGTTCATTTGCTTTGTTTTGTTTTTGTTCTTTGAGATGCTAGAGATCCGACCCCAGGGTTTTAACAAGCTAAGCAGGCACTCTACCACTGAGCTATACCCTCTGCTTTATTACTGTGGTTTTATTGACAGTCTTACTGATATTATATCCTTTAATTTTTTTAGTATGGGAAATAGGTGTGAAGATAGGATTTTAAAATAATTTGAAATATGTTAGGAAAGCTTGGGGGAGAGAGAGAAATTGTGTGTGTGTGTGTGTATAAATGTGGATCTGTGTGATTATGAAGCTGTAAGCATATGACTTCAGCCTATTCCCCTTTCCATCACTATCTTGAACACCCTCATATGATTATATTCTAGAGTGTGACTGACTCTGGTTCAAGGATATTACTTGAATCAGGGTAGGAGCTTACCCCTCATAGACTGGAGCAAGAAGAGGAGTGCTTACCTGTTTCCTTGAATTATCACATAGTTTAGACATAAATAATGAGCAACTCAACAGATCAAATCACCTTAACCAACTGAGTCCCAAATTTTCAATTTTGCAGATATTTCAATGAAGTTGACACAGGTACATTAAAAGAGGTTGAAAATAATACTCTAGAACTTATATAGTTTTATTAATATTATATAGTAATCATATTCTTATTGTTGTAATTATTTTAAAATTTTTATGGGTATTCCACATCTGAGATGATGGGACAAATGGTTTAATTGGACTTAAGTTTTGTAGGACTGAATTACTTGGTCATGTAGACTTCTCTGAAATAGGAAACCCACTGATTTTAGTCATTGATGTTGATTTCAAGTACCACTCTGTTTGGCAGGAGATTATACCTACTTAGGTACCTATTTAGTACCAAGCATAAGAGGAAAAATATTTTATATCAGTCTCTATCCTGTTGTAACTCACATGTGAGTAATTTTTTAAATATCTAATTAAACCAAATTTAGACTGTAATTGGAATGATTTTGTTAAATAGCTACTCAAATTAGTCTTTTGGAATAACTGGTCCATTGTCAAAAGGTAAAAATTCTGTGGTGATATCTTAATTTTTATAATTTTTACTTGAGAATATATGTGTGTGTATATGTATGTATATATGTAATATGCTCTTAAATGACTTTTTCCCTACATTTATAATTTTTACTTTCAAGTATTTCTGAAAATTTCCTTTCTGTTGGTATAGTTTTATTCAAGTGGATTGAGTAGGATAAATCCAGATTTAATTCTTCAAATATTGGTAGAGTGCCTAATATATACAGAGATTTGGGTGACCAATAAATTATTAAGACTGCAAGAAATGGTTGGTTCAGAACCAGGGTTAAAAGAACCTTGCTGTCCTGTATTTAACAGAAAGTGGTGGCAACCCCTTCTTTAATGTTGCATTTGAAAAAATCATCCTTTGATAAACAGATTTTTAAGAGGAATGTCTTGGTTGCTGGTATAAATATTTCAAATTAAGTATTTAAACATTGAGGTTCAATTTTTTAATTTTTCTTTTTTGGGGATTTGCCTGGTTGCCATGTCAGCAGTTGATGTCTAATTAGTACAATGACTTAAGAAAAATGTGTGAGAATTTAGTTTGAAAATCTATTCCATATAGGAAGTGGTTCAACATCAGTTACTGGAACTGTATAGTGAGGTACAAAAATAACTCTTGGCTATCAAACTAGAATCTTCTCCCTAATAGTTAAAAAAGCACTTCTGGGCTTGGGATGTAGCTCAGTGGTAGAGCGCTTGCTTAACATGGGATACCAACCATATGTTTTGCCAAATTTAATCTCTCTCCTATTTAAAATAAAACGGTTGCTTTTCAAAATTTTATTATCTCTTAAAATATATGGTATGAAGATTATTACAGAATAGGAAGACTGATCTAAAATGTATTTTCCTATCATTCTTGGTAGACAAGGATTGACAGTATGCACACTGGTTAAGAGAGTCAGTGCTAGGATATTGTCCAGCCTTGAATCCTGACCCTATTACTTACGACCTAAGTGGCCTTTAGCTTTAATTTTCTCATTTATAGAATAGGATAGGTCTGAAGATATAGCTCAGTGGTAGAGCTCTTGACTACCACGTGTGAGGCTGGGTTCAATCCCCAGTGTTACAAAAAGAGAGAGAGAGAGAAACAATAAGAATAGAGTCGGGGCTGGGGTGGTAGCTGAGTGATAGAGTGCGTCCTTAGCATGTGTGAGGCACTGGGTTCCAGTCTCAGCACCACATATAAATAAATAAAATAAAGGTCTATTGATTACTAAAAAAATAAAAGAATAGTGCCTCCTTGAGAAGATGTAAGGATTAAGGGATGTAATAAATGTAAAATGCTTAGCACCATGCCCAGCTTATGATTTGTCCTAAATGAATTTTAGTTGTGAGTATATACCTGCCGCAGTCTGGCTGGGCACAATCAGGAGCCACTTGTCAAAAGAAACTAACTTTATTTTTAGAACCACACACGCCAAACAAAACAGCCTCTCAGGAAAAACCCTCAGAGCCCCAACTGCCACCACCGGCTTCCCACAAGCCTCTCTCTCCAACACAAGCCTCTCTCCACCTCCCACAATCCTCCTGCTCTTGAGGCCGATTGGCTGGGTCACGTGGACGGAGCCAAAAAAGTCCCCCAATGAGCAGCTCCGTGGTCTGAAAGGGCACGGAAACAGCCCAATGAGCATCACCGCAGAGGAGCCAATCAGCTAGATGTTGCTGGGGCCGCTGTGAGCCAATCATCAGCCGGCAGCTGGAAGTTTGCTGGGGCCCCTTCGGCTGTGGCTCTCAACATCTCCCCTTCTCTGTTTAAACAACAAGCATGTGGCTTAGGGACCGTGCCTGCCTTAGGTTGTCCAATAGTACATATGGTCCTTACCCGTTAGGTTGGTACCGTTGCAATTGGATCTTACCTGTCACTGACTACCGGTCCAGTATACAGCCACACCTGTGGAGAGGTCTTTGTACCAGCAGGGGGGTGAGGTTCTTTGCCTCACCTCTGTTGGCCCCCAAATTTTAGCTGGACGATCATGACAAGCAGAAGGGAGGAAGATACACCAAGCCAGTTGACAGCTCCTTTTGGAAAAATTGTACCACTGATGACATCATCAGCAAAAATACCCCAACACTACCACAAGTCGCTGCACCAACAGATAGTTCACAATGCATACAGGTGAGTTCACAATGTGTCCAGGCAAGTTCTGCAAGCAGTTCAGTGATGGCTATTGCAGAAACTGTAGATTGGTTTTATCTTTGACTTCACCAGCACTGGGATGAAGATAGGAATTCTGGCAATAATGGCTAAAGAAAAAATTATGTAACATTACAGAAGGCACTAAAAGAAAACAATTTTCTTAACAATTTACATTGTCTTCAAGAGAATTATTAAATATAATAAAAAGGAAAGGTGAAAGTAAACAAACAGATCTGTTAACCTCCTTTTTGTTTACATATTAAAACAATCCTCAACAGTTGTTTACCCAATTTAAATTAAACCATTTAAATCACGTGAATAAAAAAAATTTGGATCCATTTTTTCATGAGCGCTCATCATATATGATATATGGACATACGTACATTCAAACATATAACACAAAACACAAGTGTGCACACATAATATAATACATACAACACATAACCTAATAGTAAAGGCCTTATAACTTTTTACAGGTGAAATCTCCATTGCAAAGTTTAAAAACTCTATAGTCAAAAAATAGAACTGATCAGCAAAACATTAACCTAGGTCTGTATGAGCTCAAAAAACAAAATAGAATGTGGGAAAGGGCAGTAATAAAATTGATATTGAAAAAAGCATCCTGGTTCTATCGCAGATGTAAGGATAGCCAAACTGGAGTTTTGGATATCAGCTGTTATGGACTTGAGTCAAATCATCTTCTTTTTGGTCTGTAGAAATCGCTTTAGTTAATCTCTCTGGAATCCAAATCGGCTGCTGTTCTCCCTGTGGAAACACACAAACAGGCCTCCAACTCCAGACAATCACTGGGTCAGGACCTTGTTAATCTCTCTGGAATCCAAATCGGCTGCTGTTCTCCCTGTGGAAACACACAAACAGACCCCCGACTCCAGATAATTACTGGGTCAGGACCTTTCCATTGTCCTGTTAGAATATCCTTCCAGAGTACCTTGGGCTTATGCACATTTTTTGGACACATATGCCTTTCCGCAGCACTAAGTCCTGATGAATCCAAATTTAAAAAGTTTAGAGTAAAAAGGGTTATTTTAAGTTTATCTTTGGGGAATATATACCCTTCCCAATTCCGTCTTTTTGCTTTAATAAGTACATTTTAATAGTTTGATGAGTTTTTTCAACTATGCCTTGTTCCTGTGGATTGTATGGGATTCCTGTTATATGAGTAATGCCAAATGATGAGCAAAATTGTTTAAAAGAGGTAGAAGTATAACCAGGGGCATTATCTATTTTTAACTGTTTTGGAATGCCCACAGTGGCAAAATTTTGTAAGCAATGAGCTATAACATCTTTAGTTTTTTCTCCGGCATGAAGGGAGCCCATCAAAAATCCAGAAGAAGTATCAACTGTAACATGCAAATATTTTAATTTTCCAAATTCTGGCAAGTGTGTGACGTCCATCTGCCAAATATGGTTAAGTATCAATCCTCTAGGATTGACTCCAAGATTAACTTGTGGTAAAAAGGTCACACAATTTTGACATTGTTTTATTATTTGTCTAGCTTGTTCCTTAGTTATTTTAAAACGCTTTTGTAAAGTATTAGTATTGACATGGAACCTTTTATGAAAATGTATAGCTTCTTCTAGTGTAGAGAAAATATGTATGTCATGTGTAGTTTTATCTGCTAAATCATTGCCCAAACTAAGGGCTCCAGGCAATCCTGTATGTGCCCTGATATGTCCTATAAAGAATGGATCTTTTCTGTCCCAGATTAGACTTTGTATAGTGGAAAACAGTAGAGGAAGGGGAAATCCTACCAGCATCTTCAAGGGATACTATAGCGTTAACTATATACTGACTATCGGAAAATAAATTAAATACAGAATCTTTAAACATCACAAAAGCTTGTAATACTGCATTAAGCTCTACCTTTTGAGCTGATTGTTTGGGTACTAAAAATGTAAAAGTTTGATCAGGTGTAACTATTGCCGCTGTACCATTATTTGATCCATCAGTGAATATATTTGGAGCATTCATGGTAGGTGTTTTTCTTGTCATTTTTGGAAAAATTACAAGATGCAATGACCAAAAAGACAATAAAGGATTAGATGGTAAGTGGTTATCAAATGAAACATTAGATTTGCGCATGATTATTGCCCAAGTATTTAACTCATTAGCTAACTCATCAATTTGATTCATAGTATATGGAGTAATAATTTTATTGGGAGAAATTCCAAACACTCCCTTTGCTGCTTTTATTCCTTTGAGTATTAATTGTCCTATAGCCTCAGGATACCTAGTAAGAATAGTGTTAGGAGAATAAGATAAATGTATCCATAATAATGGACCTTCTTGCCAAAATACTCCTGTAGGAATATTTTTTGTTGGTAGTACAATAAATAATAAAGGCAAACTTATATCAATTCTATCCAAATGCATATTTTCCATATATGTTTCAATGATTTTTAATGCCTTTCTTGCTTCAGGCGTTAACATTCGGGGTGAATTTGGATCTGATGGACCTTTTAGGATATCAAATAAAGGTCCCAACTCTCCTGTTGGTATACCTAAATAAGGCCTTTTCCAATTTATGTGTCCTAATAACTTTTGAAAGTTGTTAAGTGATTTGAGTTGATCTACTCGTATTTGAATTTTTGGTGGACGGACCATGGTTGAGGATAATAGAACTCCTAAATAATTAATTGGAAAATTTAATTGTACTTTATCTATTGCTATCTCTAGATTATAATTTTTTAATAAGTTTGTAAGTGTGGCATAACATTCTAGCAATGTGTTTTTATCTTTGTGTGCTAATAATACATCATCCATATAGTGAAATATTTGTAGTTCAGGATTTTGATTTCTAAGTGGCTGGATTACTTTGTTAACATAAATTTGACACATAGTTGGGCTGTTAGCCATCCCTTGAGGGAGTACTTTCCATTCATATCTCTGATCAGGACCTTCATGATTCAGTGCAGGGATAGTAAATGCAAAATGTGGACTATCCTCAGGATGAATTGGAATTAAAAAAAAACAATCTTTAATATCTATAACTAAAACATACCAGGTTTTTGGCAAAGCAGACAACTGAGGAATCCCTGATTGAGCAGGTCCCATAATAACCATCTCATTATTAATGGCTCTTAAATCTTGCAATAATCTCCATTTACCAGATTTCTTTTTGATGACAAAAATGGGAGTATTATGGGGAGATACAGAAGGTTGTATATGTCCTTCCGCTAATTGTTGTTTGACCAGGTCATGGGCTGCTTGTATCTTTTCTTTAGTCAGGGGCCACTGAGGAACCCATACTGGTCTTTCTGATTTCCAAGTAATTTTTATTGTCTCAGTGGCCCTTTCTGAAAATCCAACCCATGTCTGTCTGTTCCTTGATCTATTTGTATTGGTGCTGCTATACCTTGTTCTTGTTTTTCTAATCTTTTTCCTTTCCTAAAACCTTGTCTAGTCATAATAGTGGGTGCATTTTGGTTGATGTTATTTGTTAATGTCAAACCTAATTGATCTAGGACATCTCGTCCCCATAAATTTACGGGAAGATGATCCAATGCATATGGCTGTATAGTTCCTTCACATCCTTCAGGATCCTTCCAATCTAATACCATTGCACTTCTATGGGGATTAGTCGCCACTCCTAGGCCTCGAAGCGTTTGAGTGGCTTGTTGTAATGGCCAATGTTTTGGCTATTCTTGACGAGAGATGATGCTAAGGTCTGCATCTGTATCCAGTAGCCCATTAAATTCATGTCCTTGAATATTTAGTTTTAGCATGGGGCGAGAATCTAAATTTAAAGAAAGCATAGCCCAATCTACACCTGTGGAGCCTAATCCCTTGGAACCTCTTTCTACAGTACGACTGGAAAATTTATCATGTAGGCTGGGTATTATTAGTAACTGCTACTCTATCTCCTGGTGAAATTACTGATATACCCTTTGGAGAACTGGCTATAATTTTTATTTCACCTTCATAATCGGGATCAATTACCCCAGGACTTATCATAAGTCCTTTTAGAGTAGAAGAGCTGCGTCCCAATAATAAGCCTACTGTTCCTTTGGGAAGAGGTCCTTTCACCCCTGTGGGAATGATTTGAACTCCCATCTCTGGAGTTAGTACTGCTCTGGCGGAGGCGCAGATGTCCAACCCTGCGCTCCCTCTGGTTTGTCTGATGAGGGATCTGATGGACAGTGTGTCCTGGGCACTACCCTGATGGGGTTGCTGGGTTCCTCCAGTGCTCCATATATTTGTGGTTTTGGGCCCTGGAGCATTGGGCCCCCCTGTCCATTTTTTGGCAACGGAGCCTGATGCCTTTCTCCACGATATATTGGATAAACACCTGGTCCTTGTTCGTTTTTTGATAATGGAGTACCCTCTATGGTGGTTTGAGAACGGCATTCATTAGCCCAATGTCTCCCTCTACGGCATCGTGGGCAAATACCTGGTATTCTACTCCTTTGATACCTAGTTTTATAAAAAATAAAAGAATAGTGCCTCCTTGAGAAGATGTAAGGATTAAGGGATGTAATAAATGTAAAATGCCCAGCTTATGATTTGTCCTAAATGAATTTTAGTTGTGAGTATATACCATTATCAGCCTGTTTCAATATGCTGCTTTAAGGTGGAAAACTTTTTTTTTTTTTTTTTGCTCAGGTTTATTTCATAATAAGTCATCAGGATTTGCTAAATAGTTTTTAAAGTATCAAGACCTCAATGCTATTCTTTTTTCCTACAAGGTAGGAAATTAAAAATACTGTTCTCTCTCTATTGCTTTAATGAATTTAATCTGAATCTAATCATAGTCCTAGAAAAAGTACATAAGAAATGAACCTATAAAGATATTTTTAAGGGTTTGGGTTGTGGCTCAGAGGTGGAGCACTCGCCTACCATGTGCGAGGCTCTGGGTTCAATCCTCAGCACCACATAAAAAATAAATAACGTAAAGGTATTGTGTCCCACTACAACTAAAAAATAAAATATATAAAAAATAAACAAATAAAATAAATGCATCCTGTCCATCTACAACTAAAAAAATTTAAAAAAAGATTTTTAAATATTTCAGAAAGTAATTCACATAGATTTTATTATTTTTTATTATTTATTTGTTATATATATTTTTTAATTTTATACTCTGACTAGCTGTACCATCAGGCAAGTTATTTAACATCTCAGTCTCATTTTCTTCATTTATAAAATGGTAGTGTCAGTACCTTCTTTATCAAGTTGTAAAAGATATTCACATTTTAAGCACTTGAACCTGTATCTGGCATATAATAAGCAAACCAATATTTGTTTTTAAAATAAATTGCTAACTTGATTGTCTTTGAAAAAATGGTGGTACTTTGGAAAGAAGAGAATGTAGCATTTTACTGTATTAATACTATAGTTGGGCTGGGATTGTGGCTCAGCGGTAGGGCACTCCCCTAGCATGGGCGGGACCCGGGTTCGATCCTCAGCACCACATTAAAAAAAGAAAGAAAAGAAAGGCATTGTGTTGTGTCCATCTACACCTAAAAAATAATTTTTTTTTTTAATTATAGTTATTATAATCTGTGATCTGGGGAACTGGGAGTATAGCTCCGAAGTAGAGTGCTTGCCTAGCATGAGGTCCTGGGATCAATCTGCAGCACTGCAAAAATTTTAAAAATAAATAACCTGTGATTAGGACTATGATAGCTATTGATACCAAATCAAAAAATAGATTATGACTCCTGAATTATGTTATGCCTTCCTATTTAAGTGTAGGAAATTGTTGGAATCTGGAGAATAACATAACTATCTAAATAATCAAAATATTAAAATAAAGGTCTATGTAATTATTGTATCTTGCATTTCTTGTATTTATAGATTCTTATTTTTTCAGCTGGGAAACAAAGCTTTGTAGGTTTTTATTTTTCCAGTTTTTCTTCTGCTTCTCTGAAAATGAGCACTTAACTTGTTAACTACTACTTTTTCTAGAATAATGTTCCTTTCTTCTTTTTCTTTTTCAGTAAGATACATGTTTATTCAAACACAAGATACTCCAAACCCTAACAGCTTAAAGTTTATACCAGGAAAACCAGTTCTTGAGACAAGGACCATGGATTTTCCCACAGCAGCTACAGCATTTCGTTCTCCTCTGGCTAGGTATGTTACTGTTTTCATTTGCTTTTACCAAGCAACATAAATAGCTGACTTTGGGTTTAGACAGACTTATGTAATATTGCATTTTTAAGTGCTCTGCATTTTTCAATGCAGAGAATACTTTGTTCTCTTTTCAGGTAAGAGATGAAGAAAAGTAAGAGTTGATATTAGAAAACTTTCTCCTGAAGCGTGATATATTTGAGAGCTCTGTAGCATAAATAATTGAAAATTGATATTTTTACATAAGAAAAAAATCCCCCCTAATTGATAATTATGGTAAATTTCAATTCCAAATCTTTAAAACTCTGATTTTTTTCTTTTTCTTTTTTGTTTTTTGAAACTAAAAATTGAAACCAAGGGTGATTTGCCACTGAGCCACATCCTCAGTCCTTTGATAATTTTTTTAAATTTTGAGGCAGGGTTTTTCTAAGTTGCTTAGGGCCTCGATAAATTGCTGAAACTCGCTTTGAACCTATGATACTCCTGCTTCAAACTCCCAAGTCACTGCACCTCTGTGCCAAGCCCTAAAACTCTGATTTTTAAGAATAATGAAAACTTGCTTATTTTATTCATAAAACTTGCAAATTTCTACATGTTACAAGATGAAGTAGTTCTAAAATGATTCACTAGAAATTATAAATGATTGTAGTTACCAGATATGACATGATTTTTAAAAGTAGTCAGTGGGGATTATTTTAAAATTCATAAAAAGAACATGTTTAAATATGTTGTCAGAGATAATAACACAAATGACAAAATTGTTAGAATTATCCTCTTTTGAACTGATAGCTAGATAAATTAGTTATAATAAGAAATATTAGAGTTGGCTGGGGTTGTGGCTGAATGGTACAGCGCTTACCTGGCATGCGTGAGGCCCTGGATCAATCCTCAGCACCACACATAAATAAATAAAAGATCCAATGAAAGCTAAAAAAATATTAATTAAAAAAAAAGAAGTAGTAGAGTCAGTTATTAACAGTTGGAAATATTCTCCTTGGTGCTGGATATTGAACCCAGGGCCTTTGTGCACATCTCACTGAGGTACAACCCACCGCAGGTGAAATTTTTGATAACTTAATTCTGACACTGATTGCCAAGAATATTTGGAAAGTAAAGCTTTATAATCATTTTATATGTTTAATTTAACCAGTTAGAGATAAAGCTCAGAAATAGTATTTAAATTTCCAGTTAATAAATATTTACTTTCCTTTGACTCAAGCATACCACTTCTCAGAATATACATAAGAACATGTAATTTTCACATTTTCTTTTTTTGATATAAGGCACAGTTAGAAATATTTTACATTGTGAAGCAGTACATACACCTGTATGTGTCTGTTGTGTGTGTATGTGTGTGTGTGTGCACACACATGGAATTTTTTATGGGATAATTTTTACTTTTTAAATTTTATAATAGGTAATCTATTTTTATATTTCCTTTTAAAATTTTATTTTATCTATTTATTTTGCGGTACTGGGGATTGAATCTAGGAATGCTCTACCACCAACCTACATCCCCAGCCCTTTTTCCTTTTTTTTTTCCCCCTAATTTTTTGAGACAAGATAGCCTAGGCTATCTTGGAACTTGCAATTTTCCTACCTCAGCATCTTGAGTTGTTGGGGTTCCAAATGTATACCTTTGTACCCAGAATATTTTGTTTTATTTTATTATATAAAATAACAAAATCCCGATCACTACATAATTGATTTCACATTCACTACTGGGTTTGAAAAACCCTACCTTAGAGAACATTCATACTTGTACACAAGGTATGTGTAGCCTTGTGGTAATGGTGATAATTTGGAAACAGCCTAAAATTCATCATTAGGAAAAACTAGGTAAACTTTTTCTATAGTCTGTACATATTAAAAAGGATGTAGGGGTGCTGGGGTTGTGGCTCAGAGGTAGAGTGCTTGCCTAACATGGGTGAGGCACTGCGTTCAATCCTTGGTACCACATAAAAATAAAATAAAATAAAGATATTGTGTCCACTTATAACTAAAAAATAAATTTAAAAAAGGAGGAGGAAGATCCATATTTATTTTCACAAAAAGACCCCTAAGATATAAATATTATTAAGGGAAGAAAGCAAGTTGTAGAACATGAGTACAGTGGAATAATATACATGTATATAAATGTATATTAAAATTAAAATTAAAATTAAAAACCCACAAAATAACAAATGCATTGGCAGAAAGGTTAGGAAAAATGCATACCCAAAATGATAATAGAATTTGGGAGATGTGGTTGAGGGGCATTTTAACTTTATATGTGTTGTTTGAAATGTTTATATCAAGAATGAATTCTGCATATTGCTGAATCCCAGGTCTTCCTTCTCAAGGTCATCTTGTCTGTACTCCACTCAGCTCTTCCTCTCTGTGATCACAGTCTATCCCTAGACAAGGTGACATGATAACTTACAAGGTTTTCATTTACCAGGCTGTGATTACCCTTGAGCCCGCCCTCCAAGATCACCTTTTAATTGCATTTTCGATACTTCTAAAATTCTTTACTTACTCATGATTGATTTCTTGATCCTGCTCTATTATTTTGCTAGCTGATTTCTCAGAGGTCAATTTTATTTTCCTTCTCTTCAAATTAGGACCTGTACCCAGTGACTACAACACCCAACAAGAGAATAAAGAGTACAAAACAGGGCCTTGTGATCACCAGCCCAGGAGTCTTGAATAGTCTTAAAAAAAAAAAAAAGAAGAAGAAATTCACATATTTTGTATTTAAAAAATGCAAAGGTCGGGGCTGGGATTGTGGCTCAGCAGTAGAGCGCTCTCCTAGCATGGGCAGGACCTGGGTTTGATCCTCAGCACCACATAAAAATAAAGGCATTGTATTGTGTCCATCTACACCTAAAAAAAAATAAATATTAAAAAAAATGCAAAGGTCTAAAGGTATAGGTCAATGGAAGAGCACTTGCCTAGCTTGTGCAAGGGCCACAAAAAAGAAAATAGCCTGTTTCCTGGATTCACAGAATTCATCTTCAGTCAAGTAAAACTAATCTTGTGGGCTGGAGATGTGGCTCAAGAAGTAATGTGCTCGCCTGGCCTTCAAGGGGCACTGGGTTTGATCCTCAGCACCACATAAAAATAAAATAAAGACGTTGTGTGTCCACCAAAAACTGAAAAATAAATATTAAAAAAACTTCTCTCTCTCTCTCTCTTTAAAAAAAAAAAACAAGAAAAAAAAACTAATCTTGTGTTCTCTGTTGTTTCGGTAGGAAATGTTTTTGCTGACTGCTAGAATGTAAGCTTTTGAGGACAGGCCAGTTTGTCTTGCTCATCATTATCTCCCTAGTGCTGCATACAGTACATGTCATTTAGAGGTGTCCAAATATTTGCTGAATGAGTAAGTAGACTGATTCAAACAGTAGTATATCTTACTTCTGGAAGTCTTTTAAAGCCATTCTCATTTTTGTATATATCAGTAGTTCATTCCTCTTTATTGTCAGGTACTGCTACATTATATGGATAAACCACAGTCCTTTTTATTCATTCACCAGTTGTTAATGAACATTTTCAGATTTTTTGGGAGAGAGGCTATTATAAATAAAGGTGCTATAAAGATTCACATACAAGTCTTAGTGGAGCATATGTTTTCATTTTTCTTGGATAAAAGGTGTAAAATTGTTGGATTGTAGGATAGAAAATGAAACAAAATTGGACATGAGTTGATAATTATTGAAACTGGTGAAAAGTACATGGAGATTCTTTTACTTTTCTCTACTTTTGAATATGTTTAACTTTTTTCCTAATTGATTATTATCTCCCTCTCTCTCTTTTCTGTATTCACAGGCAATTATTTAGAATTGAAGGAGTAAAAAGTGTCTTCTTTGGACCAGATTTCATTACTGTCACAAAGGTATATAAAATAAGATTTATGTAGGGTTATTTTAAATAAGATTTGAAGTACTTTTAGTCTTTTCTGAGCTGATTCCCCTCTCCATAAATCCCATTCTTAATGTGTTTTACACATCCTATTATTAAAAATCTATTGCTGGGGCTGGGGATGTGGCTCAAGTAGTAGCGCACTCGCCTGGCATGCGTGCGACCCGGGTTCGATCCTGAGCACCACACACAAACAAAGATGTTGTGCCTGCCAAAAAACTAAAAAATAAATGTTAAAAAAAAAATTCTCTCTCTGTCTCTCACTCTCTCTTTAAAAAAAAAAAATCTATTGCTGTATGTATAAATGTGGCTGTATAACCAATGTGGTCCTGCAATCTGTACACCTGGAAAAATAAGAATTCATACCCCATTTGAATCAAATTATGATATGTCAAGATCATTGTATTGTCTTGAGCAACATTAAAAAAAAATCTCAAATGAGCTCGGTGTAGTGGCACATTGGCTGTAATCTCAGTGCTGGAGAGGCTGAGGGAGGCAGATCACAAATTCAAAGCCAGGCTCAGCAACTTAGCAAGGTCCTGAGGAACTTAATGAGACCCTGTCTCAAAAATAAAAATTAGGACTGGGATGTAGCTCAGTTGTTAGAGTGCTTGCCTTGCATGCACAAGACCCTGGGTTCAATCCCCAGCAACTCTCTCTCTCTCTCTCACACACACACACACACACACACAAATAATAATAATAATAATAAATAAATATTTAAAAAGAGCTAGGGATGTGGCTTAGTAGTTAAGCACTCCTGGATTCAAGTCCTAGAATTTCCCGCCCCCCCGCCCCCCAAAAAATTTCAAATGAAGTTTACATCTTACATTTCTCAATTATTTAAAAGAATTTTCAGATTGAAGTTAAGTATAGTCTAGATCTAATTATAATCCAGATGTCCAATTTTTCAAAAGAAAACTTGAGCCTCAACAGGTTAAATGCAGTGTCCAAGATTATACAGCTGCCTTATAGCAGGACTCAGTCTTGGCAAGATAGAATTTAGGCTTCCAGGTATTATTTTTACTAATTCTTACCTTACATTAGTAGAGTCAGAAGAGAAGCAAATAAATAGATTTTAAAAAATAAAAAATTTCTTCATACAAATTACACAAGTACATATTTTGTAAAAACAAATAAATTGTACATGCATATGTTAGATGCCAGGATATAAATGCCACTTTGAAAGGTGATATATATTCATTCATTCTGTTGATATATGAAACAAGTTACATATATGTGTGCATATGTACAATTCCACCATTCTTCAATAATACTTCAGAGTTTCATAGAACAATAGACTGTATAATTGTAGCACTTAATTAACCTCTAGATATCACAAAATTAAGCCAAATTTGCTACCCATTTCTAACTCATGCTAGAAAGGGCTATTCCATTAGTATGTCTACTAGGTTAATAGGAAATTAAATATTGAAATTTGAACAATATGTCCTTTTAAATCTGATAATTGATGTATGTATACTGCTTTGAATCACTTAACCTGATAGTATGTCAAAATTAAAAATATTGCTAAATTCTCCTTAAGCAATTTGAAAAGATTACTTTGGGTTTTTGTTTGTTTTTTTGTACTCAGTATTGAAGCCGGGGATATTTTACCACTGAGCCACATCCCCAGTCTTTTATTTTTTATTTTGAGACAGGTCTCACTAAGTTGTTGAGAGTCTCACTAAGTTGCTAAGGCTTGTCTTGAACTCCTCTCCTGTCTCAGCCTCCCAAGTCTCTGGGATTACAGAGTTGCACCATCAAGGACCTGGCTCTACTCTGAGTTCTTGATGTGCCTTGAACGTGAACATACCGAGTCCACTGTTCTCTTGTAGCTATTTGTGTATTAGGAGAAATATGATTTTCCTCCTTGGGAGCAATCCTAGTGGTTATGTGTATTCTTGCAAATATCCAATTGTAAAATGTTTTCATCTATAGTTTAAAATATTCTAAATTCCCAGAAAGCCCTTTTATGACCATCTTCAAGTGACATTCCAGGGGATTTCATGCACATTAGGCAAGAATTCTGCAACTGAGCTACACTCCCAGGCCCTGATCACTTTGCTGCCGATATTCTCATCACTGACTACACATTTACCTGGTATCTGCAGTGATCACCTGTTTTCCTTTCTGATTTGTAATTGATAATTCATAAGTTTCTTTACATATTATTTGCTATTTTTTCTGAATGTATATGTGTATTTGCAGCTTATATGCTACTTTTTTCTTATTCAGATAATTTCAGAATATTTTTCTTTTTAATACTAATATTTCTCTACTCAGTACAGCCTATTACTGAAGATCTTTGAGAACATTCTCTTCTATCTTCCAAATAATTCATTAAAATATAACCAAGAACTAGTTTATTTTCTCAACCACTGGACATCTCACTGTTTTTTTTTTTTTATTTTTTGGTACTAGGTATTGAACTCAGGGGCACTCTGCCACTGAGCCACATCCCTATCCCTATTTTGTATTTTATTTAGAGACAGGGTCTCACTGAGTTGCTGAGTACCTCGATTTTGCTGAGGCTGGCTTTGAAATCGTGATCCTCCTGTCTCAGTCTCCTGAACCGCTGGAATTATAGGTGTACACTACTGCACCTGGCCAATTTTATATTTACCATAGCTGCCAGTGTATTTTACCTTTTGTTTATTGTCTCTAAATTGATTCTTAATCCACAATAAATATAGCCCTTTTATCCTTTTTATCCCATATTGACTTAATTTTTAATAGTATTCAAGCATAGATTGTAGCTAACAGCATCCTAAGAGTTTAGACTACATTTAATAGGTTCTCCTTAAGAGCTTTCCTTTAAAAAACTAGAACAGACCAGGTGTGGTCCACAGTCCTCTAATAAATAGCCATGGTTCTACAGTTACATCATTGCACTTCTTAAAGTACTCTTTAAGAACTACATTTAAATTGAAATGTTTGAGTAGTCATAAGATGTTCTGTATATTTGATGAGCAGATATATCATATTTTCCTTTTAAAGATAGAGAATTCATTCAGTGTTTTAATTCTTTTCGTATCATGAAAAATACTTTTTAATCATTTTAATCATTAGCCCCTATGTAGTACAAGCACACTTAAAATTTTGATATGAATGATTATGGAATATCTTAAAATTGTGTCTTCCGAAAGTCACTTAAGTGAGACTTTAAAGAGATAAAACTGATATGTGTTCTGCAGAAATCAGTGTTGCATATTTTAGGATGTAAATTGGAAAAGATTCTTGATACAAGGTAGTGTTCTGTATTTGTCTTTGCCCTTGCCTGAAAATGTAGCATTTTCCCTTACATGTTTATAGGAAAATGAAGAATTAGACTGGAATTTACTAAAACCAGATATTTATGCAACAATTATGGACTTCTTTGCATCTGGCTTACCCCTAGTTACTGAGGAAACATCTTCAGGAGAAGCAGGTAACATTACTTATGTTGAGTAATTAATATTACTCAACATCTGTTTTTAGACTTTCATTATTTTGTTCACATTTGCCTTGATTCAGAAGTGATAAGAATACAGATTTTTAAAAAAATTTTTAAAGATGTTGATGGATCTTTATTTTATTTATTTATATGTGGTGCTGAGAATTGAACCCAGTACCTCGCACATGCTAGGCAAGTGTTCTACCACTGAGCCACAATCCCAGTCCCAGGAATACAGATTTTTATCATTTAATTTGTTTAGCTCTGCAACCAATATTACAGGGGACCAAATTTTATATGTTTTATTCATCATTTTTAAAAATTTGTGTTTAACTGAATCTATTATACAAAACTATAATTTTCAATTATAAAAATTTTGTACTCATAGAAAATAGTATAATGGTCATTCAGATTTAACAAATGTTAACTTTTTGTGTGTGTGTGATGCCAAGGAGCAAACAAATATTAACTTTTTGCCATTGTTGCTTGAGATCCATTTTAAAATAAGATATTTATAAAAATACAGCTAATGCCCTTAGACTCCCTCTCTTTTTCCTTCCAGATATGTGTGTATGGTTTGTTTTTATATTTTTACAACACACATAAGGCTGAAGGAAATATATAGTATTGTTGTTAGGTGGTTTTTAATATTTATTTTTTAGTTGTAGTTGGACACAGACCTTTATTTTATATGTGGTGCAGAGGATCAAATTCAAAGCCTTGAACATGCTAGGCAAGCCTCTACTGCTGAGCCACAACCCCAACCCCTATAGTATTGGTTTTTGATCTTAAACTATAAGTAACTTATGGTTTACTACAACTTGCCTATTTCATAGAATATAATATTTTTTAAATCCATTTCAAAAAAGTATCATTCTAGTTTATTCGTTTTAAGTGCTGGATAGTATTCCATTATGTGAATAAACTATAGTTAGTTTGTTCCTTATGTTCAAATGTATTGTTTGTACTAATTTCTGTTACAAATATTTTTGTAGTAGCATCCTTATACAAGTCTTGGAGAGTTTTTTTTAGAGTATGTTCCTAGAAGTGGAATTGCTGTTATCATAAATGCTAATTGACATGCATATGTCTTCTTTTTCTTTTCTTTTCTTTTTTTTTCTTTTGGTGGTGGTGGTGCTGGGGATCAAACCCAGGGCTTCTTACATGCTAGGCAAGTGGTCTACCACTGAACTATGCCCCTGGCTCTACATTTGTTTAAAATCAATATGTTAAATATAAAGTATTGTCTTTTTAAAATTATATTTCTTGGGGCTGGGGTTGTGGCTCAGAAGAAGAGTGCTCACCTAGCATGCATGAAGCACTGGGTTCGATCCTCAGCACCACATAAAAATAAAAAAAAATAAAGGTCTTGTGTTCACCTACAACTAGAAAATAAGTGTTTAAAAACAAATAAATAAATAAAATTATATTTCTTTTATTAATACTGAGCGTGAAGGTTTTCATATGTTTATTAGGCACTAAGTTTCCTTGTCAGTAAGTTTCTTGTACTTTGTCAAGTTTTAAAAATTTGAGTCATGTCTTTTTTTTTTTTTTCCTGGTACTCAGGATTGAATCCAGGTGTGCTTTATCACTTAGCTACATCCCCACGCTTTTTATTTTATTTTTTTATTCTGAGGCAACGTCTCACTAAGTTGGTTAGGACCTCATTAGGTTGCTGAGGCTGGCTTCAAGCTTGTGATCCTCCTGCCTCTGCCTCCTGAGCCACTGGGATTACAGGTGTGCACCACCATGCCCAGCTAAGTCATGTCTTTTTGATACTGATTTAAGCAGAATTTTTAAAGAATTTTGGGGTATTAATTCTTTGTTATGTATATTCATGACATATAACTTCTTCCTAACCGTAGCTGGGATGTAGCTCAATGGTAGAGCTCATACTTACATTTCATCCCCAGCACTGAAAAAAAGAAGACATCATAAACAAAGTGAAGAAGACCTGCCATGTTTTTGGTTTTGTTTTAATTTGCTTGGGGTTGAACCCAGGGCCTCATGCATCCATGCACTTTACTATTGAGCTGCATTTTGAGCTCCTGGCTGTGTTATTGATGAATACATATATAAAGTGTATATCAACTTGAGAGTGATTTGACTACATATACCAAAATTAAAGTACAAACCTAGGTCTGGGAATTTAGCTCAGTGGTAGAGGGAGTATAGAGCAATGCATGTCGTATGATCTCATCTGTGTCAATTTACATATGTAAATGTAAATGTGTCCTAGAAGAATTTACACCAAACTAGACAGTGACTGTGAAATGGATGATGATGAATGAAACTTAAGTTTGCTGATAAAAGAGACTTTTAACTTTATTTATATATATATATAGTATTTATATTTTGTATTTATTTTAAATAAAGTATTTATATTTTGGGGTATTTAAATATATATATATATTGAAATACCCAAAGTTAATGTTATTTAATATTAATTATTATTTATGGAGTTGCCAGGAATCTAATGTTTGTTATAGTATAATATGAATTATCTGCATTTTTGGTTTTTCCACAGGTAACTAAATTTCTCTCACAAAGGTGAAAAACTCATAGAAAGGCACGAATGAAGATTAGTATAACTCTACAAAATAAAGCAAAAACACAATTGAAACAAAATGAAAAACCAACTTTTTACTCAGATTTATACAATGTCAGAAATTTCTAGGGCTGTGGTTGTGGCTCAGTGGTAGAGTACTTGCCTGGCATTTATGAAGCACTGGGTTTGATCCTCAGTACCATATAAAAATAAAAATAAAGATATTGTGTCCACCTAAAACTAAAAAAGAAATTAAAAAAAAAGAAATTTCTAAAAGGCTTTTGTATTAAGTGTGACTATATTTTTGAAAATCACTAAATTGAGAAGCTGAAGATATAACTTATAAAATAGATATGCTTTTTTTGTCTCAAAATTCAGATAATCTATATTCTCTGCTACTTCCATCTACTTTCAAGAATGATAAAAGTTTTCAAATTTACTGGCACAGAAATCAAGCCCTAACATAATTAGCAGATCAAGGTATTTCAGTGTACTTGACACTAAATGTTGAGTTGATCAGTATACTTAATTTTTCTTTAGAGAACCAAATGAATGATTCTCTTTCTTTTTGTTCAAAATCAACTATGTCACATTACCAAGTTACATGTTTTATGTTTTTAATGATCCATGAATTTAAAATCATGCTGTTTTAATATTTGTACCTGCATGGATACTAAATTTCTACTATTGATTTTTTAAAAACTCAATTGTTTCTAGGTTCTGAAGAAGATGATGAAGTTGTGGCAATGATTAAGGAACTGTTAGACACTAGAATACGGTATGTTCTCTTCTCCCACCTGAATTCAAATGCTGCAGAGGCCATTTTTTATTTTAGAAATGTACTTTTAATTGTCCATGAGATTACAGTAGAGTTCAAAATTAAGTATAAGTGCCAGGTACTGTGGTGCACATCTATAAGCTCAGTGACTTGGGGGTGCTGATGCAGGAGGATTGCAAGTTTGAGGTGAACCTCAACAATTTGGTAAGGCCCTAAGCAGCTTAGTGAGACCCTGTCTCATAGTAAAAATTAAAAAGGGTTGGGGATGTGGTTCAGTTGTTGAACACTCCTGGGTTAAATCTCCATACCAAAAAGAAAAGTACAGATTAATGTAAACCACCATAGGCAACTATAACAATTGAACTTAAACCCCATACTAAGTTGAGATTCTTTATATTCACTCAAAAATTTAAAACAATCTATTAAACATTGTGGATGAAGAAATTTCATTCACACCATTTAGGTTTGATGTTGCTATAATCCTCAGATTTCTTAAAAGTTAAAGGACTTAATGTTATTTGGAAGGATTTTGAAGAGAGAAAGGAGTACTTGTATTTTAGGCCATAAAGAATTGCCCATAAAGAATAAATTTAAACAAGTAGAGAACAGCAAGTGGCCTGCTACTTTTGCTCATAAAAGGCTAGTAGTTAAAAAAAATTTTTTTTAAATTTATTTGAAGGTATTAGAAAGCTGCCAGAGCAACCAAGATTTGAAATGCCACGATCCTGTTGAGAAACGAAGCTCACTGCAGCTTTCCTTGGGGCATTTGCTGGTTCTTGGTATAAAGCCAGGTATAAGAAGCCGGGCAGAGACAGTTGCTAAGAAACAGAGAAGCTATTGAGTTTCTAGAAAATGTGTTTAGATGAGAAGACAAAAATTAAAATTTTAGGTTACCAGTGAAGTCTTGATTTGAAGGGCCAAGATCCCAGAGAACAGGGACACTAAGGAAAATAAGCTCTATGTAGTTAATAACAATGTATTGTATTTTTGAAAATCACTAAGAATAGATTTTTAAAATTTTTTTAAATATTTTTTTTGGTTGTAGATGGACACGATGCCTTTATTTAATTAATTTATTTTTTTAATGTGATGCTGAGGATTAAACCCAGTGCCTCACACATGCTAGGCAAGTGCTCTACCACTGAGCCACAACTTTAGCCCCCAAGAGTAGATTTTAAGTATTCCCACCACAAGTATGATGTGAGGCATGTGTTAATTATCTTGAGTTAGCCATTCTGCATTGTATACATATTTCAAAACATCATGTTGTAAACTATAAACATATGTACACTTCATCAACTAAAAATAACTAACTTAAAATAGTGGAAGTAAACCTAACACTCAGGTTCTTCCTGGATGGCACCTGCTCATTCTTAGCTGTGTAAGGTAGAGGCTAAGAAGTCAAATAAAAGGCAGTTTGGAAGCAGAGTTAAGGCAGTTTTATAGTGCTGGAGTAGGAACAAAGACTATGGTTTAGGATGTGAGCTTCAAGAAATATTTAGACTCTTGATTGGGCTTTTGTATGTGTGTATGTGTGTGTGGTGCTGGGAATTGAACCCAGGGCATCAGGCATGCTGGGCCAGTACCTTACCACTGAGCTACAACCCCAGTCCTTGGTTGGGCTTCTGGGAAAACTAGAGCCTTGAAATGGGGCAAACCATGCTTACAGAACTGTAGTCCAGTATTGAATTAGTTTAATTCTATTAGACTGAGATGTTGCTGGAAAATATGATGAGTCCTTTCTGATATAATATAATCCTGAGTTGCTAGTATCCATCATTCAGTCAAAAATTACTAGATATACCTTGAAACCAGACCAAGAAGAAATAAAACAAAAAATTTTAAAAAAAATATGTCAAGATCATTGTATTGTCTTGAACAACTAATAAAAAAAAACAGTAGATAACTCTAATATCTAGGTAGCCTAGATATTAGAGTTATCTGCTGGTTTGAACTGAGGGCTTTACTCAGGCTAGGCAAATGCTTTACCACTGAGCTACACCCCCACGTCTTATAAATTAAATTTTATTTTATTTTGGTGCTAGGTATTGAACTCAGAGGGACTTTATCATTGAGCCACATACCCAACCCTTTCTGAGACAGGGTCTCGCTAAGTTGCTGAGGCTGCCCTTAAACTTGCTATCCTTCTGCCTCAGCCTTCTGAATTACTGGATTACAGGTGTGTACCAGCATGTCTGGGCTCAGACCTTTTTAAAATATTTTGGTTTGAGATACAGTCTCCTAAATTTCCCAAACTAGCCTCAAACTTACATCCTCCTGCCTCAACCTCCCAAGTGGCTGGGATTACAGATGTGCATCACCATATCCAGCTGAATTTGTTCATTACATTAATGAGCAAAGACAATTTAAAATGTTTTTATTAAGAATCTTTTCAATGTCATGTACAACCAGAAGAATGAGAAGTTGTACTCCATTTTATGTATGATGTATCAAAATTCTTTCTACTGTCATGTATAACTAATTAGAACAAATAAAAAAAGAATAAAAGAACCTTTTCAAACTTACACAAAAAGTACAGGAAAGTGGAGAAAGTAGCATACCATTAGTGATTTCTTTGGGGGCTTTAAAAATTATCTGTGGAATGACTATCCCTTGTTGCATTATAAATATTTTAAGACACACCTTACATTGTTAGTATGTTAATCTTATCAACTGAATAACTTCTTTTCATTTTTAAAGGATGTAGAAACTAAGTTTTGCAAGATGAAAATAATTTTAGAGACTGGCTGCACAATAATGTGAACTAAACTTAAAAATGGTTAAACATAAAAAATGAATTCCATGTGTATTTAGACACTTTTTTAAAATTTTCAGTGCTGGGGATCAAATGCAGGGTTTTACATATGTTCAGCAAGTGTTCTACCACTGACCTACATTCCCCAGCTCCATAACCATAATTTTTATTTTTTTGGTGTATTATAATTATACATAATAGGGCTGGGGATGTGGCTCAAGCGGTAGCGCGCTCGCCTGGCATGCGTGCGGCACGGGTTCGATCCTCAGCACCACATACAAACAAAGATGTTGTGTCCGCTGAAAACTAGAAAATAAATATTAAAATTCTCTCTCTCTTAAAAAAAATAATTATACATAATAGATTCATTGTACATGTTTATACATGCACACAATGTAACAAATATAATTTGATCAATTTTATTCTCTAGTACTTACCTTTTCCCTTTCTTCCTGATTCCCTTCCTTTTACTAGTCTCCCTTCTGTTTTCATGAGACCCTACCCACCCACCTGTTTTTTTCCTTTTTTTTAACCCTAGCTTCTGCATATGAGAGGAAACACAGGACGCTTAACTTTCTGAGTTTGGCTTATTTCCCTTAACGTAATGCTCTCAAGTTACTTCTGTTTTCTTGGAAATGGCATAATTTCATTCTTCTTTATAGCTGAATTAACTTCATTAAACTCCATTAAGAGAGAGAAAATAAAAAGATGTAAAAATCTATAGCATTCAAAAAATGAATAAGAGAAAGCCAAACAGATATCAGACAAAATGTGCCTTACAGCTTAAAACATTACTATACATAAAGAGAGATCTTTAATTTCTATCAGGAATATATACTAACCTAAAACCCTAATAACATGTTCTCAAAATAAATGAAGAATATTTGACAAAACAAAAGGAGACATAGCTCACAATCATGATGGGAGACTAACACTGTTCTCTGGGTAGCAAATAGAACAACACAAAAAATAATCAGTTAAGATAAGAGAGTTTCAAACACAAGATTAGCAAAAACTTTGCCCAAATTGTTGACATATATAGAATGCTGCACTCAACAGAAATATTTATTCTTTTCAAGTGTACAGGGGACATGTACTAAAACAGACTACATGAGGGATCATGAAGCAACCCTTAAACAGATTTCAAGGATTGAAATCATTGAAAATATTGGGGGGTTTGTGGGTCTTTTTTTTCCATGGTGATTGAACCCAATGCCTTATGCATGCTAAGTACATGTTGTACCACTGAGCTACACTCCAGCCTGAGAATATTGTTTATTGACTGCATTAGGATTAAATTAGACATCAGTTACTAAAACATAATGGCAAAACCTCCATGTATTTGGAGACTAAGCAGTGCTTTTCAAAAAGACATGTGGATTGGGCTGGGGCTGCTCCTCAGTGGTAGAACAAAAGAAAATATGTACATAAAATTGAGAAAAAAAACTATATCAATCAGACTGCAGTAAAATTATGACTTTTTCTTCATCAGAAATGTAATTTACAGTGAAAAGACAAAATACAGAATAGAAGATAATTATATAATATACATATAATATATAATTATATATAATAGAAGATAATTATAATTTATGACAGGATATGTAAAGATCTGCAAATTGGCAAGAAAAAGATAATCAGAAATTGGAGTAGGCACCTTACAGAAGACAATAACCAAATGGTTACTAAACATGAAAAAAGTGTTTTAAACTTAAACCACAATGAAATAACACTAAAATCCACTAGAATGGTTAAAATGATGGACACTAGCCGGTGGGAAAGTAAGTTTAAAACGGTGTCTTTCAGTGTCTACTAAATACTTACACTCTTGACCCGGCAATTTTGCCTTTGGATATGTTCTAAAAGACATTTAAAAGAATCTTCATAGGTACACTATTTATAAAAGCCAAAAATTGGTATTAACCCAAATGTCCATCAACATTACAATGGATAATAAATTCTAGCATATTAACTTAATGGAAAACCATGCAGCAATGAGATTGAATAAACTACTACTATACTAAACATGAATGAATCTCACAAAGAGAAAAAGAAGCCAGATACAAAAGAATAAAATCTCTGTGATTTAAAATAGAATTTATAGGACTGGGGATGTGGCCCAGTGGCAGAGCACTTGCCTAGCATGTGTGAGGCCCTGGGTTCAATGTCTACCTCTGCAAAAAAAAAAAAAAAAAAAAAAGGTTATAAATTATAAAGCTGAATAACAGGTAAAACTAATCAGTGGCAACAGCAATTAGAATAGTGGTTAAATTTGATTAGGAGAGCAATTAGAAGTAAAGGGGAACTTCTAGGACACCAGTGTTCTGATTCTTGTTCTGGGTGGCAGTTACAATTTATGTGTTTATTTTGTGAAAATTTGTTGAATTGTACATACATGATTTATGCATTTTCTGTATTAATGTTATATTTCAATGAAAAGTTTGCCTGAAGAAAAACCAGAAGCCTCCTCCTTTGTCAAAGACGTGAACGGGTCTATCTTAGGTCATCACAATACTTACTAGGAAATTTCACATTTTAAATGCTTAAAGTTTATTAATAAGCAGCAAAATTAGATGTAATGAGTAAATATTTGTATGAATGAATTTTGGCATTTTATTTGCAAGTTTAAAAAATTAAAACTAGAAATAAGACTTAACCACAATTATTGTTAACTATTGTAAAAGTTACTCTAACTTTGTGAAGTTTACCAATATAAAATCTAAGTATAAGCTGTATTAAATTTTTCCAGTAAAAACTTCTGTTCTTTAAGTGTATCACCAATACATCTGTGATCACAGGCCAACTGTACAGGAAGATGGAGGAGATGTGATCTATAAAGGCTTTGAAGATGGCATTGTACAGCTGAAACTCCAAGGTTCTTGTACTAGCTGTCCCAGTTCAATCATTACTCTGAAAAATGGGATTCAGAACATGCTGCAGTTTTATATTCCAGAAGTAGAAGGTGTAGAACAGGTATTTTCAGAGTTTGGATTTAATTTTAAGATTCATGGGAAAAGAAATCTATGACCTGACTCTTTCTTCAAGGGCAAGATCTTTGCAATTTCTGTGACTTAAAAATTTTTTATTTTATTATTCATTTGTTTAATCATTTTATTAGATAAATAAATAAAATTATTTTTATTTTATTAGAGCATTATAGTATTTGGGTTCATTTTGACAAAATCATACATGTGTGGCATTTGATTTCAATCCCCTATTCTTCTTCCTCTACTGCTCTTCCTTTCACTTATTTATTTATTTATTTATATTAGTACTTTCTACATATACATAAAGGTGAAATTCCCCAAGGTATGTTTATACATGCATATAATGTAATTTTGTTAAAAACCATTCCTTATTTCCTTCTCTTTCCTGTCCCTCCTCCCTCCTCTTCATCTCTTTCTATTCCACTGATCTTCCTTATATCTTTATGATATTCAATCCCAGCCCCCCTCTTCTTTTCCTTATTTTGTTCTAGCTTCCACATAGGAGAAAAAGCATTCAACCCTTGGTTTTCTGTTCTGGCTTATTTTACTTAGCATAATTTTCTCTATTTTCATGCATTTACTGGCAGATTATTTTATCCTTCCTTATGGCTGAGTAAAACTCCTTTGTGTGTATGTATGTGTATGTGTATATGTATGTGTGTGTGTGTGTGTATTAATTACATTTTCTTGATCTGTTCATCCATTGATGGACATCTGAGTTGATTCCATAATTTGGCAATTGTGAATTGTGCTACTGTAGACATTGAAGTGGCTGTATTGCTTTAGTATGCTGATTTTTAGTTCTGTTGAATAAATACTAAGGAGAGGAAGAGCTGGGTCATATGTGGTTCCATTCCTAGTTTTTTGAGGAATCTCTACAGTGCTTTCCATAGTGGTTGTACTAATTTGCAAGTCCCACCAACAATGTATGACTGTACCTTTTCTGCCACATCCTCACCAGCATTTATATATTTTTTGTGTTCTTGGTAATTGCCATTCTGACCAGAGTGATGAAATCTTAGGGTGGTTTTGAGGTGCATTTCTCTGATTGCTAGAGATGTTGAATATTTTTTTTATATATTTCTGACCATTTTTGTTTCTTTTTTTGAGAAATGTGTGTTTTGTTCTTTTGCCCATTTATTGATTGGGCTATTTGTTTTATTGGTGTTAAGTTTTTTGAGTTCTTTATACTCTGGATAGTGTCCCCTATCAGAGGAGTAGCTGGCCAAGATTTTCTCCCATTCTGTATATTCTCCCTTTATGTTCTTAATCACTTCCTTTACTGTGCAAAAGCTTTTAATTTGATGGCATCCCACTTATTGATTCTTGGTTTTATTTCTTGAGCTTTAGGAGTCTTGCTGAGAAGTCAGTGCCTGCACACCTATATGATGGAGTATTGACCCAATGTTTTCTTCTAGCAGTTGCAAGGTTTCTGGTCTAATTCCTGAAGATTTGATCCATTTCAATTTGACTTTTGTACAAAGTATGAGAGAGGAATCTAATTTCACTCTTCTACAGTAGGATATCCAGTTTTCCCAGTATCATTTGTTAAAAAGACTATTTTTTCTCTAGTGTGTATTTTTGGCACCTTTGTCAAGTATGTCAGATGGCTGTAAGTATGTGGGTTTTTTTTCTGTATCTTCTTTTCTGTTCTGCTGGTGTTCATGTCTATTTTGTTTCTGATGCCATGCTGTTTTTGTTACTATAGCTCTGTGGTATAATTTGAGATCAGGTGTTGTCCTACATCATTTTTCTTGTTCAGAATTGTTTTGGCTAATCTAGGTTTTTTCTTCTTCCAAATAAATTTAAGGACTGTTTTTTCTAGTTCTGTGAAGAATGACATTGGTATTTTGATGAGGATTGCATTGAATCTGTATATTGCTTTTGGTATTATGGCCATTTTGATGGTATTAATTCTACCTATCCAAGAACATGGCAGGTCTTTCCATCTTCTAAGATCTTCTTCAGTTTCTTTCGTTGGTGTTCTGTAATTTTCATTGTAGAGATCTTTCACCCGCTTGGTTAGATTAATTCCCAAGGTTTTTTGTTTTGTTTTTTCAGGTTTTACTGATTTCTTTCTCTACAGAATCGTTGGAACATAGGAAAGCTGTTGATGTATAAGTGTTGATTTTTGTACCCTGCTACTTTTCTGAATTATCAGTTCCTGAAGTTTTTTGGTGAAGTTTTTTGGGTCTTCTTAGATAATAGGATCCTGTCATCAGCAAACAGAGATAGTTTGACTTCTTTTCCTATTTGTATCCTTTTAACTTCTTCTCTTACTCTGGTTAGAATTTTAAGAACTATATTGAAGAGAAGTAGTGAGAATGGACATTGTTGTCTTGTTCCTGGTTTGCTAATATTTAATTTTATATTGGTCTGTAGTTTTCTTTCCTTGTTGTGTCTTTCTCTTGTTTTGGTGTCAGGGCTTTACTAGCTTTATAGAATGTATATGAAGTGTTCCCTCCCTTTAAGTTTCAGGGAGTATTTTGAGAAATGCTGGTGTTAGTTCTTTAAAGGCTGGTAGAACTCAGCTGGGTATCCATCTGGTTCTGGATTTTTCTTTGTTGGAAGGCTTTTAATTGCTGTTTCAATTTCATTACATGATATTGGTCAGTTTAGGTTTTCTGTATCTTCCTGGTTCAATTAGAGCAGGTCATATGTATCTAGAAATTTGTCATTATCATCTAGATTTTCCAGTTCATTAGAATATACATTTTCAAAATAGTTTCTAATGATCCTCTGGATTTCAGAAGCATCTATGGTGATACCTCCTTTTTCAACTCTAACTTTTTTTTATTTGGATCTTCTCTCTATCTCATTTTTGCGGCAGGGGGATTGACTAAGGGTTTATCAGTGTTATTTATCCTTTTGGGAACCAGATCTGTTGCACTGATCCTGTGTATGTTTTTATTCTCAATTTCATTAATGTCAATTCTGATCTTAATTATTTCCTGTCTTCTACTGAGTTTGGAACTAGTTTATTCTTCCTTTTTAGGGTCTTGAGCTAGAATATAAATTATTTATTTGGGATTTCTCTATTTTTTTAATGCAGGTACTCAATGCTATAAATTTTCCTCTTAGAACTGTTTTAATATTGTCCAAAGATTTTATTTTGTATGTCTGTTCTAATTTGTTTCTAAGAATTTCTTGATTTCTTCACTTATTTCTTCTGTGTTCCATTTTTCATTTAAAAGAGTATTGTTCAATCTCCCTGTGTTTATGTTGTTTCTATTATTTTTCTTGTTGATTTCTAGTTTCCTTCCATTGTGATCTGATGGGATGCCTGGGATTATATCAATCTTTTTGTGTTTGCTAAGACTTATACTGTGACCTAGAATATGGTCTGTTTTGGAAAAGATTCCATGAGCTGCTGAAAATAAGGTAAATTCAGCTGTTTAGGGGTGAATGTTTTGTAGGTGTCTGTTAGGATCATTTGATTTATAGTATTACTAAAGATGGTGATTTATTGATTGATTTTATGTTTGTATTACCTATCAATTGGTGATAGGGTATGTTGAAATCACCCAATATTATTGTAATGGAGTTTATCTGGGATTTAATGTCAACAAGTATCTCCTTATAGAACTGTTCCCTGTACCAGGTATAGTGGCCTTCTTTGTCTCTTCTGATGAATTTTTGCTTGAAATCTGCTTTATAAGACTAGCTACTCCTGTTTGTTTTGGGACTCATTTGGGTGAAATATGTTATTTTCCATCTTTTTACCTTCATCCTGTGGGTATCTTTGCCTATGAGGTAAGTTTCTTGCAAACAGCATATTGTTGGATCCTGTTTGTTTATTGATTCTGCAAATCTTGGTCTTTTAATTGGGGAGTTGAGACCATTTACATTCAATGTTATTGTGGATATTTGTAGTTTTCTGCCATTTTTAATTCATTTGCTATAATTAATTCAGTATTGATTTTTGGTTACTCTTCTAGTGCTCTTCATCTTAAAATTCGTTATTTTAGAAGTTAACTTTGGTGTCTACCGTGTGACAGGCACTTTCACAAATATTAACTCATTTAATCCTCTAAAGTACATTAAATCATTCCCATATTGTATATAAGGAAACAGAGTCAGAGATCATGCTGCTGCTCTGACTAGAAAAATTCTGAACCATCATGCCATTGTATAGATAACTTTTTGAAATCTTTAGTTGAAGGAGCTCTACTACATCATTTATCTACTTCGTGTTCATTTTCTCTCTCTCTCTCTATCTCTCTCTCTTTAAATTTTATTTTATTTTTATTTTTTTGGTACTAGAGATTGAACCCAGGGTTTAGCATATACCAGGCAAGAGCTCTACTATTGAACTACATCCCCAGCCCTAATTCTTGTTCTTAATAATGCAAGCAAGGAAATCATCAAGGAATCATACTTTATTGTATGGTAAAAGAGAGTACTAAGTAGGCTTATAGAGCTTTATCTATAACACAATGTCAGCATAATTTTTCTGCCATAACATGCCTAAAAAATATAGAACAGCATCTTCTCAGCAGTCATGGTGATTTTTACTGCACTGATTCTCAGCCAGGAAGTATGGGCTTTATGGAAAGAAGTTATAAAGGAGAAAATAACATTTTGAAATTTGAGAAAACTTCTCAAATAATTCTGTACTCTAGGGGAGAGGGTGTTTCCTCCCAGCTTCTTTGAGTAGTAATAAGAGATCTGAGTCGTAATAAAATCTGTCCTTTTGGTTCAGTATATGCCATCTTCTCTTTGAAGTTCTTATCACACCTCTGCTTGAAATTTAAAACTCCTTTGGTCCAAAGCTGCTTTCTGTGTGTCTGTTTATGTGTAAGTTACCTGAGAGACTAGAAGTCAGCTCTAGGTCTTCATATTTCTCTGCAACAATTAACCTGTATCTTACAAACACCCTTTACATGGTTTGTATTAAATAATTACTTGGGAATAGTATTCCAAACTTAGGGATAATTCTGCCTAAAATAGAATTGATTTACAAAATTCTTTGGAGTGGGTGTTGTTCTGATTGGATTTAAATTATTAAATTCCTTGCAAGTAAAATATCCATTTCTATTCAACCCAAAGGACAAACTATCAGATAATTCTTTTGCCATTGTTTGTCACTTATCTCAGATCAAAACCAAATTCATCAAGACTTTATAGCCATTTACTCTTTTTTTTTTCCTTTTGAGATTGAAGTCTCACAATGCTGCCCAGGCTGGTCTTTAATTCCTGGGCTCAAGCAATCCTTCTGCCTCAGCCTCCCAAGTAGCTGAGACTACAGATGTGTGCCATTACACGTAGCTCCTCTAGTTTTTTGTTTCTTTTTTAACTTATTTTTGTTCTTTTTTCCCCTGTATGCCTTTGTTTTTTAAATTGCATTTGTTGACACTTCGGTGGCTTGACAAGAAAAAAGGAACAGGGGCTGGAATTGTGGCTCAGTGGTGGAGCATTTGTCTAACGTGTGAGGCACTGGATTCAATTCTCAGCACTGCATATAAAAAAATAAAATAAGAGTCCATTGATATATATATATATATATGAATGAAAAGGAACATTTTTATTCCTTTGTCTAGGGTGGAGTGATGAATTGACTGTTGGATTGTAAACTTGAATTGGCAGTAGGTGTGGTGGTGATAAAAAACACTCATGGATTTATATAGTTCTTTTCCTCACCAAAGGTGTTGGTCTTTCTTATCTGAGTAATATATTAGCTCATCTAAAGATATTCACCTTTTCATTTATTTTTCTGTAAGTATTTATTAGTATTTTTTTTCACTAAAAATCTTCATTTTTAAAAAAGTTGAAAATGAGGGGCTGGGGATGTGGCTCAAGTGATAGTGCGCCGCCTAGCATGCATGAGGCACTGGGTTCCATTCTCAGCACCATATAAAAACAAAATAAAGATATTGTGTCCAACTGCAACTGAAAAATAAATATTAAAAAAAAGTTGAAAATGATTTTTTATTTGAATCAGACCAAAATAATTAATTAATAATATGGCTTTTTTTTCTTACTTTTTTAAGGGATTCGTTTTTCTTTTTCATTTTGGAGATACTAGGGCTTCATAGGGGTCCTCTACCATTGAGCTACACCCATAGCCCTTTTTATATTTTAAAATAGGGTCTTGCAAGTTGTCCAAGCTGTCCTGAAACTTGTGATCTTCCTGCCTCAGCCTCCTGAGTAGCTGGGATTAAAGACCTGTGCCATTGCACCTGGCTTCTAATAATAGTTTGATTTACCTCCTCAGGAAATATTTAAGTAAATAAGACACTTTTGGAAAAAAAGACAAACATTTATTTTAGTCTTCTTCTTCTTTTTTTTTTTTTTTTTTTAGACTAAGGATGGAACTCAGGGCTACGCATATTGGCAAGCACTCTGCCACTGAGCTAAATCCCCGACCCCATTTATCTTGGTCTTATGAGATATACCAGTTAATCATTTGTAGTCTTAGCACAGTTGAAACTCTGTTACTGGAAACCTTTTTTGAAGCATGGAAAAGAGACCAGTGCTTTAATTAATCTGTACTCATTTTACTATGTCAGGTTATGATTTAAACTTTGTTTTGGGGGGATGTTGATAGATTTCTTCTTATTGGATTGCCATGTGTTGTTATAGCCTATATCAGAAAGGAAAGTAATATTAAAATTTGGAAAATAGCAATTTCTAAACCTTTTCTTTATTCTTAAGTTCTTTCTCTTTTTGGTTTTAGGTAATGGATGATGAAGCAGATGAAAAAGAAGCAAACTCACCATAAAATAATCTAGCATTTCTTTGAGTACAACAATTGGACTTATTGATAATATATACCAAGCTGTTGTTATTAATATGCTAAGGAACTTGAAGAGTAATAAAAAATGCCCATTCCTCAGAGAATGATATATAAATGTTACATGTTTGTTTTACCTCACATGAATTATTTTTAACATCCTGAGTCATCTTCTGTACACGTGGATTTTGTCCAGGGATATTTTTATTTTTGTTCCTCATTTCTCATGGTGCCTTCTTTGCTCAGTATATGAAGCAGCGTTTAAAATACGCTTTTCCCCATCTGATTTATTTACAGTTTTTATACAGAAGTAAATAAGGAGAATGTTTTTAAAATATTCTAAAATGGATTAACTTTTTTGTGAGACATCTAAAACTGTTTAATGGTTCTGGTTTTAAAATGTTATCTGGCTAGTAGCCACCAGTGTAACAGCATATAACTTCTTGATGAAAGACCAAAAAATGTTTTTTATATTACAGCTTTAAAAAAATCACATTGGAAGCTAGGGATATAGTTCAGTGGTAAGGCACTTGCCTAGCATATTTTTTTTTTTTGAGAGAGAGAGAGAGAGAGAATTTTAATATTTATTTTTTAGTTTTTCGGCAGACACAACATTTGTTTGTATGTGGTGCTGAGGATCGAACTCGGGCTGCACGCATGCCAGGCGAGCATGCTACCGCTTGGGCCACATCCCCAGCCCCTTGCCTAGCATATTTGAAGCACTGGATCTGATGCACAGCACTACAAGATAAGTAAACAAACTGAAAATTCAAGGACTAGACACACTTTCAACTGGTTATAAGCAGAGCTGAATTGAGAGAAACTGCAGAATCTCAGAAAAAAGGGAGAGAGACTGCTTTGGTCTTTCTTCCATTATCTTCTGATTCAGAGAGCCATACATTATTTTTAAAATGTAAAAGCTGTATTAGTTAATACTAGTTTCTGTGTCATGTCAGAAATTTGAAGTTATTTCTTCACCACAGGAGTTACTACTGTTATAGCCAAAATAACATATTAGCCTTCCTTTCTTTTTCTATAGTAATTCAGAGATAGAAGTTCACCAAAAATACCAGGGAGGTGGTGGGGAGGCAAATAGCAATGATACATTGCATTTACAGGGATTAAGATAGATTTGGAGTGTAACCATCATTTGACCCAGCTATCCCCACTCCTCAGTTTATACCCAAAGGACTTAAAAACAGCATACTATTCATAATACCTAAATTGTAGAACCAACCCAGATGCCCTCCAGTGGATGAATGGATAGGGAAACTTTGGTGTATATACACAATGGAACATCACTCAACATTAAAAGAGAATAAATTCATGGAATTTGCAGGTAAATGGATGGAGTTGGAGAATATAATGCTAAGTGAAGTAAGCCAGTCCCCAAAAACCAAAGGCTGAATGTTTTCTTTGATATGAGGATGATAACTCATAATGGCAATGGTGGGGGAGCATGAGAGGAATGGAGGAACTTTAGATAGGGCAAAGAGGAGGGAGGGGAAAGGAGAGAGCAAGATGGTAGGAATGGCAGTGGAATGAGTTAGACATCATTACCATAAGTACATGTATGAAGACACAAATGGTGTGAAAATACTTTGTATACAACCAGTGACTTGAAAAATTGTGCTCTGTATGTATAATCTGAAATGAATTGCATTCTGCCATCGTGTATAATAAATTAGAATAAATAAATAATTTAATAAAGGAAAAAAGCAGGAAGAACTCTTTAACAGTTGTGAATGTTGGGAATTAAAGTTTTTATTTTTGTCTTTTGGTTCATAGGACCAGATGGTAAGGTTGGAGAATTTATTTCCTGGGCTATTATAGATGAATTCAGGCAGGACACTGGATATTACTTTGTAAGCTACCTTAGCAAGACTTTTACTTGAGGCTACAAGAAATTAGTATTTTGAGAGAAAAGTTATTAAGAAATCTTAGATATGGCCTAGAATAAGTGACTAAGTGGGTGGAGGATTTGATTATTAGAAGACAGGAAATCATTAAATGGAGAGGGCAGTATATTAGAAACATTTCCTTACACAAATTAGCAGCCATGAAAAACAAGGAGGAAATGTGAAGAAAGAACATTGTAGGCATAAGGAGCAATGCATTCAGAATCAGAGGTATGTATTTGGGAACTGGAAAATGCTAAGAATGGCTTAAATGTAAAGTAGATGTGCTTAGCTAGAAATGGTGCAGAAGTAGCAGTGGGCAATGTGGAGAGTGCTGCACAAAGTCCTGGTTGCCAGCCCAACATACATCCCCAGTACTTGCTAAGAGAGGCCCTTTTAGTTACCAGTTCATGGTAACATGCCCAGGGAAGGTAGGTCCTGCCTTAATCCCAGGACATAGGTTACAGTTAGTCTAACACAATCATTTAACACTATTTCTCATTGTCAGTCATTACTGTAGGGGTAAACGTATGACCCAGCCTTGGCCAGTGAGCTATAAGAAAATCTGTTGTAGAATTCTAGAAAGATTTCCTAATTTCCTTCCCTGATTAAGTTAATCTCTAGAAAGAAAACTTCTTTCTTTGATTCCCAAAGCGGTGACAATCAACTTGTAATCATAACAAAATAAACAAAAATATCAGTCCACTGAGAATGTCACAGACAGAAAAAGGTGGGGGGGATCCTTAAGGCTATTGTTGATCTTTGATCCAGGCAAGCAACCAACCACTTTCAAAGTTCTATCATGAGAGATAATATGTATTTCTTGTAACCACTGTAATGGGGTATTCTGTAACTTGGAACTGATTACATTTTAACAGAGGACTCATTCAGTTAGCAATTAATTTATCAGGTATAGTTTAATTAGGTAATAGTTTTTATTTTTGAACATTTAAATTATACTTGGTCTCCCATATGATCCCAAAGAAAGAATAATAATTATTAGTTGTATTTAACTAAAACAAAGATAGAAATTAAAACCTCCCAATATATGTAGTATTTTTACATAAAATATTCTTGAAAATACTATAAATCTAGGACTTTCCAATAGATAAAACTAAGATGATTAGTCAAGAGTAATTGAGGGCCAGGCATTATGGCACATGCCTGTAATCCCAGCAGCTCAGGAGGCTGCGTTGGAGGATGGCAAGTTCAAAGCCAGTCTCAGCAACTTAGTTGAGACCCTGTCTCTAAATGTTAAAAAAGGGCGGGGGGGGCTAGGAATATGACTCAGTGGTTAAGCACCCCTGGGTTCGATCCCCCATGGCGGGGGGAAGTAATTGAAGATTTTTCACTGATCAAAATTAGGCTGAAGCCCATACAAAATGATATGACCATATGGGAGCAAAATTCATATGAATAGCAAACTTTTATGAGCATTTACTAGGTGATAGGTGCTGATTAAGCACCTAACATTAATGAAGTTACTCAATCCTATTACATAGGTAACTTCCTATTTTGTTCCTATTTTTATAACAGAGGTACAGGGAGGAAAGGCACATTTTCCATTGCTGTGTGTGTGTGTGTGTGTGTGTGTGTTTTGGTGGAGGTTGCTTTTTGTTTTATTTGTGGTGCTGGGAATTCCACCTAGGGGCTTGCACATGCTATGCAAGTGTTCTTCTGAGCTACATTTCTAGCCTCCACCCCCTGCTTTTTTTTTTTTTTTTTTTTTTTTTTTTGTACCAGGGATTGAACCCAGAGGTGCTTTACCCCTGAGCTACATTCCCAGATCTTTTTATTTTTTTATTTTAAGGCAGAGTCTCACTAAATTGCTAAGGCTGATCTCAAACTTGCAATCTTCCTGTCTCAGCCTCTCGGGGATTGCAGATCTGTGCTACCACACCTAGATTCATTGCCCTATATCTTAAGTAGAAAAGTCAAGAATACGAACCCTGACATTCCAGCTGCAAAACCTATGCACACTGCTCTATACTACTCTTCCTTAAGGGTATTGGACCCACATACCCCTCCTGAGTATTCTTACCTCAGGGAAGGCAGATATGCTTTCCACGCCTTCAGAGGTGCTTTCTAGTGGACAAGAATTAAATTAAATTAAATCTCTTATTTAATCTAGAACCACAGTAGGCATAGCAGTGGTATGTGCGGGGAGGTCCATTTTTTATGCAGGAATATGAAGTTGGCTACTCTGTAGTCCAAAGGCAATCTGCTTCCCTCTTGGGAAACTCAACTTGATACACAGTTTCTCTACATCCAAGTTGCCTAATATTATGTTCAACTGATGTAGGAGACATCTTTTGTACATTCTTGGTGTTCCTTTATCATTCTTTTAGCAACACTTTGCTCTTAGCTTTGAAAACAGAGCAGTCTACCCACAATATTCTGCCTTCTTTGCTGGGGAAGTGGCAAACACTGTAACTATCCTGAAGCAACTTTTATATCTTCTGAAAGAAATGTTATAAAATAGCACTTTTTCTCTTCTTAAATTTCTAGTGCTCTTTCAGCAGCTTCCTGAATGGTCCACCCCTTAAGCTGGCTCTAACTAATAGTAGGTTAAAGATAGGACCAGTTAATCAATTTGTTAACTTTCTTGGAAGAAGAATGGGTTTCTTCCTACCAGAGCTAGAGAACTCTGCTCCAGCTTCTGCCTGCTGGGAAAATTTGGAGCTACCCTGAATGGGAGTGTCAGGGAGAGAGTCCTACTTCTGGTTGGATCAGTAGCCTTTGTCCTCAGAGGATGAAAGGGGCAATCAAGCCATGTTCACCTGATGTAGTGGACATCTTGTTATGTTCTTGGTGTTCCTTCTGCATTCTTTTAGCAACACTTTCCCCTTTGCTTTGAAAAACTGAACTGTCTAATCTCAGTATTCTCCTTCTTTGCCCCACTGGATTGATTGGAATCCTCACCTGAATATATAAAACAAGGATAGAGACACAGCTTCTCTCTTTCTCCCCTTGGACTGTGTAATCTATACAGATATGATTCCGAAGTGGCTTCAGTGCCATTTCCCTGTCCATGAGGCCACAGAGACGTGGATTTCGACAACATTGAATCCTTACAAGACTTTTTGTGTTCCTAGGAATACATATGCCCAAAGCTGTTTCTCTCCCTGTCCTTTCCAATTACATTAGCTGATAAATACCTTCATGTAGCTTGAGTGGATTTCTATTATTTGTCATTGAAAGCTCTGCATATTAGAAATTTAAAACAAATAGATACATTCAACTTGGTGGAAGTCAATAAGATTAGCATTGGAGGTGTTTGTGTGTGTGTGTGTGTGTGTGTGTAAAATATAGAGATCATGTATACACATGAGGAATTGTCTCACAGTTGGAAAGGCTAACAAATCCAAAGTCTATAGGGTGGGCTGTCATCTGAAGGCCATCAGCTGGCAAATATTTCTTGGGGCAGTTAGTTTTTTGCTGTTGTTGTTGTTTGATTGGTTTTTGTTTTTGTTTGGTATCAGGGATTGATCTCAGGGGCACTCAACCACTTAGCCACATCCCCAGCCCTTTTTTTTTGGATTTTATTTAGAGACAGGGTCTCACTGAGTTGCTTAGGACCTCACTAAATTGCTGAAGCTGGCTTTGAACTCACCATCCTCCTGCCTCAGCTTCCTGAGCCGCTGGGATTATAGGCATGTGCCACCATGCCCGACAGTGTTTTGTTCTTTTAGGACTTTCTACTGACTAGATAGAGTTCACTTACACTATGAAGGGCCATCTGCCATCTGATTTAAGTTCCTCTCTTCCAAAAATACCCTCATGGAAACAGCCAAAATAAATGTATATCTGATCACTGTAGCCCACCCAGGCTGGCACACACATTTAACCATCTCAAGTCCACCCCTTATCAACTCAATACCCATATGCATCTCCTTAAGCCTTACTCTCCAGATAGAGATGATACAAAGGTCACACTTCCACCTAACATGGTATAATTGTCCTGTACAACTCTTTGAGTGATGTTTACTCTTCCTTCATCTCCTGTAACCTAAATACTAATATGTAAAATTAACAAAACTTCAGTCTAAAATAAAGGTAATATGTCTTACTTATATCACATATAAGAGACAGGGGAAAACATCTGATTATGTATATTAATATATACACATATATATGAACACAAACATTACAAAATAAGGAAGAAATATTAGGAAAATTAGTTTCACTTCTGTAACTGGCCAGATGGTTGCAGCTGGTTTTTTTTTTTTTTTTTTTTTTTACAATCACCTTCTTCACTACACATTCTGTATTGGCTTTGCCTTTGCCTTCAACCAGCATCTAATCTGCTTAAGATCCTTTACCTGGTGAGACAATCCAAACCTTCAAAAGGGTGTGGACTATTAGCAGTCCTGCCTGGAAGATGTTGTTATTTTCCTTAATCATGGAGAATGGTAACATAAAGAGAAACCCTAAGGTCCTCTCATCAGACATATTCTTCCTTATCTCTTTTGTGGAGTGGTAGTCCAATCTCCCCCCTGGTAGTCAGGAACTGTCACCACAGTCAGTATCATAACTCTCTTGTTGATTTTTTTTTTCCTATTGAATCCTTCATTCTTTGCCCCCACCCCACTCCTCTTTTGGTAGTGCTGGGGGATTGAACTCAGGGCCTTGCATGACATGCTAGGCCTACCATTGAGTCACATCCCAACCCTGCCCTTTTTATCTTCCAAGCAAAGCACACAACCAAGTATACCTCTCAAAGTTATTCTCACTGGGGGGTTTCTCTTCACCACTATCCTTCAGGGATATCCCAGAAGGGTCTGTTTTGCTGCAGCCCACTTTGGAGTGATGCCTGCATATCATGCAGAAGAATCTAT